CAGCTACAAAACAATACAGCAGTAGGCGGATTTTGCCGCGTTTTATTTTTTTTGCGGCGTAATTTGGCGGAGGAAGAGAAGAGATGGCGAGGGAGAAGGACATGACGGAGAGGGAATATGGGCATCTATCGGAGAAGAATGATGCACCGGCAAGAGTAATGGCTGCCGGGAGAACGTCTACCTGGGCAGCTGGTGGAGCTGGTCTCGGTACACAACGGGTGAGCACGATGAATGACGGAAATTGTGCGTTGAGCGGCTACAGCAGCATTCGCATACCGCCCAAAATCCCGAAAGATTCGGCGAAGGCCGTGAACTGGTTGCGGAGATTGCGGATTTTCCTGGCTAGCGAGGGTTTGGAGCAGACGCTTGAAGACACCTATCCCACTGGCTATGTTCCTGTCATCAGCTGTTTGGATTGTACATACCTGAACCGGGTTCATGGTGCGGCGCTCGTTACGGCACACAAGCGGGCGTGGGGATATCTGTTGGAAGCAACCTGCGGCACGGACATTGAAGAACGGTTGGCTGCTTGCGACTGCGTCCCTGAGGCGTGGAGGGTGATCCGCGAATGGGTTTTGCCTACTTTCGACGCCGAGAAGACATTGCTTGTGCGACGGTTGGAGGCAGTTGAGATGTCCCCTGGCGAGAACCCGAAGCTTTTCTTTGCCAGAGTTGATGGCATCATCAACATCATGCGAGCTGTCGGCATTGAAAAATCCGAGCGGGAAATCGTCCACATCATTGTTCGCCAGCTTTCGCCCGAGTACGATGTCGAACGCAAGTCTATCCTGGCCGACCCCACCATTCCCCGAGCGAAAGTGGAAAAAGTTGTTCGCACGGCATACGCTAACAACGTCGAGATCAAGGAATTGGGCAAATCGAAGGCGGTCGGTGGTTTGGGGTGCGGTCATGGCGGCGGCGGTCAGAAGGGGAAACAACGGCGGCGGCAGCAGGAGCAGCAGCAACAACAGTGGGTTCATCCACAACCACCACCTGTACACCACCCACCTCCTAATTTCCCGACGTGGGGATCTGGGGGGCTCTATGACTGTGGGCGCAACGCCGTGTACCCGCAAGAGGAGTCAGCTCCGCCGCCAGGCGCTCCGATGGGTGCCGTTCATCAGTGCGTGAGGTGCGGGAGGCATGGACACTCACTCGGCGACTGCAATGCGCCACGACGCTTTGAAGGCCACTGCACTGCCTGCGGTGAGTATGGTCATCGGCGCCGCATGTGTTGCACAACCGGCCGCATGCAACAGCACGTGCATGTCGGTGATGGAGAGGGTCTCAACGCGAGTGGCAACGACACTATGCCGTACCAGCAGCGGAAGCGACGACGCTGGAGGAGGCACACGCACAGGCGTCAGCCGGAGTCGCTCCTCCCCTTTGCAGATGGAGCGGTGGCATGGGGCACAGCAACTGCTGTGGGAGCGGCGACCGGTGGTGGTGGTTTCCCCGCTACGGTGGCGGGGGGAACGGCCGCGGCGCAGGCACTCGCGGCTGGAGCGGCGGCATCGGAGGCAGCAACGGCGGCGAGAGCGGGGACCCCCGGCAACAGAGTCTTCCCCGCGGCGGCGGCAGGGGGAACGGCCGGGGAGCAGGCACTTGCTGTTGAAGCGACGGTATCAGTGGTGCCACCGGCGGCGGCACCGGCGACGGATGAACTCGAAAGCATGAAAGAAGAGCTTGCTGACATACGGAGGCAATGGGGGAAATTGGCAGCCAAGAAACCGGCACTGCATGTGCAGCCGGGCCCACCACTTGTGTCGTCAGCAGGCGTGGCTTCAGCAGCGGAAACAACGGTGGGGACGACGACAGGTATTGGTGTTTTCCCCGACTCGTCGATGGGGGGAACGGCCGGGACGCCGTCAGCTGCAGGAACGGTGGCACTGGAGGTTTCGTCGACCTGCGGCCAGATACCCCCCGCCGTATCAACTGGGGGGGCGATCGCAGTGCCCACATCGGCAGCTACACCGGCACGAGCAGCGCAAGAAGCGGAGGACGCGTGCGATGAGGATGGCTGTTGGTTGGACAATGGCGGCGAAGGCGGCAACAGCAACGGCGGCAGCGGCGACGGCAGCTTCGTGGCGTTGTCTGCGGGTGCGGGTGCGGGTGCGGGTGCGGGGCATCTCGGCGCCCATCCGACCGTGTACAATGGTATCTGCGTGGTGCGGAACGATGGGGGGTAATGCCAGGGCTGGACATTCGATCGTGGCTGGAAGGGTGCGGCATGAATTGAGAGGCTACGTGTTCGGGAGCTACCGTGCGAGATGACCGGTGGTTGCACCATGAGTCTACGCGCGATTCAGGCACGTTCGTGAGAATTATGTTCATTTGGCTTTCTATTTTCTGGGTCGATTTTGTTTGTTGAAAGCCATGAGTTTGAGAACTGCGTCGACGTAGGCTGCTGTGTTGCGATGCGCACGAACGAACGTGGTGTTTATGGTCTGTGGTACATGTGTTTTTCATTTGTCAAGGATATGGTGTGCATCGTCTAGGACTTCACCGCGCCGAATGGTGCAGTTGATGTTGTTGGGTCACTGCTAGCACTGCTGTCGAAAATCATGGGGGGGGATGAATGTGATGCTGAGATGCCATGATCTTCGCCGCAGTACAAGCAGAGTTCTAGCGGACGTTCGGGTTTGATTGTTCATTTTGTTCACGTTTTCCGCGTTTTACCTGCGGAAAATGAGGAGAAGTCCTCAATTCTTGTTTGTTTGCGATTCCGCGTTTACCTGCGGAGTTTGAGGCAACTTCGTCCTCAATTCTTGTTTGTTTGCGATTCCGCGTTTACCTGCGGAGTTTGAGGCAACTTCATGATACTTGTCTGATTCCTCGTTGCTAGGATAAGAAATACATTTCTTGTTTATTCGCGATTCCGGTTTTTTCCGCGGGGTTCGGAGGTAACTTCATGATATATATTCGTTTGATTTCTCGTTGTTTGGATCCGAGAGTTGTTGCAGCAGGGGGGCTGTTAGCGTTCGTGTTTTGGGAGATGATGCAGCAGGGGGGGGGGGGGGGGGGGTACTCCATAGTCGTGGCATGCCGTAGTCGTTTTGACCATTGACCTCGCATCCCAACAAAGCCGGGACGGAGCACGCCGGGTTCTCACCGGACCAGGCTCTCACATCACCAAGCGCGAAGCGCCGTGAGGTATTTGGCGAGTCGCATGAAGGGTGAGCTGCATCCTGCTAAGGGTGTTCGGCATCTTGTGCTTACTTCCTTGCGTACGGATGACAGCTACGTATGACTTAATTTATTTTCTGGTGCTTTCACTTCCAGAGACAGTTGTAAGCACTGTGTAACTGCCTCGAGGAAGCTTGACCATTTTAACACAACGTGGTGCGATCATCCCCCGTTGCGCGGAGTGAGGTTTCTCGACCCCGCACAACATGATCTACTCGACCACCATTATGGTTACCGCCAAAAAATACAAAACGAGGTAAAACAAAAAAACGGTAACCTGGTTGCCGAGTTCACGAAGTGAATTGGCTTGTTTTACAACGTCGTTGCCAAGCGACGAAAACCCAATCCCGATGGCAAACACCGAGTGGGGGGCTTGTTTTACAACGTCGTTGCCAAGCGACGAAAACCCAAACCCCGATGGCAAACACCGGGGGGGGCGGCAGCAGGGGGGCTGTTAAACTTTTATGTTTTGGGCGATGATGCAGCAGGGGGGCTGTCAAGAAGTCCATGTCTGGATGTTTGAGAAACGGCATAATTGGCGAAAGTTTCCTCTGGCGTCTTTGAACGCCGGGTTTTTAACGTTTGTCTATTGGTGCCGCATGTATTAGGTATTGATGACTGTTCTGAACGATGTATTGGAGGAAGGATTTGACATATTTTGGTAAGACATGGTTGAGGCCTATGTGCTTCCGAAGCTTATTTCAAATTGGTCAATGAGTTGAAACACAGTTTTGTGCGAGGGTTTTGTTCGAGGTATTTGTTGACGCGTTTTGCCAGAGTTGTCCGTCCAGAGTCTTTATGACGTGGCTCTGATGTAATGTTGATCTTTGCTGAGTAATCTTCCAAGGATAATTCTTTGTGTTTGACTACTTGAGAATGTGGTGACGACATTTTCTCGAGAGGGGTGCTTGTTAAGACTCTTAGTGAAGTTCCATAGTCGTAGGAGGAGGAGTAACCTGAAACTTGAATATTCGATAGATCCGGGAGTTGAGATGATTTATTTGTGGATACGAAAGATGAACGGTTTTTAGATTTGTTGCCGTTTTACCTGGCGATATGTACGGAGGATCTCGTAGATCGTATCTCGTACCGAGTAGGGGGGCTGTTTGTGTGTGTACACGGCAGGATACAATTCTCCGAGATCTCCGAGGGGGTTACGCAGATGAAAAAGATATGGGTATGATAGACAGACTTGGTGCAGCAGGCTTTGCCTCTTCTTGCTGACGTCTGTCACTCGTTAAACTCTCCAATAAGCAAGGAACTTGAGTCACTCCTTTGTGCAACACGCTCTCGACAAGAGCCCGCGAGCGTGATAACATAGTACACGCGCCGACACCCCAAACACATGTTGGTTGTCAACACACCAGCAGGCGACGCACGCAAAGCAAATCAAGGTCAGTTGGAATGAATCCAAAGGAGGAATATTCCCAACGTCCGTCACCTGCTAACATACGTAGTAGGTGGTCGGACAATTGCTCCACACTGTCCAACATCTACCACGTTGAACGTACGCCAATTCTGAACTTTCACGGATGTCATATCTGTCTCTCGTAGATCGATTCACTAAGCATACGTTCCATCATCAGATTCGCCTGTGCCAATTCACTACACTCGAAGACCGAAGAGACCACTGCGGTCGTACCATCCCCTCCACCCTCCACCCATGAAAAATCAAGTCTCTCATGTAGCCGGGCGTGCATTGAGCTACCTTAACCGCAAAGGTCCAAAGGCTCTGGTGGAAAACAAATAAGCCTCCTCTGTGTACTCGAGAGAACATCAAACAAATTTGCCTCTCGTTAGAGAAACGTCGAAATTTATTACCTCTCTTTGATCCAATCAAAAGTGATCGCGAAATTCAATCGCGGAACGACTTCAACGCCATGTGATCCCCGCACCACATCAATGTACCTCCTTGTTTCCGACAAAAAAATCGTCGACGCACATCACCAACAAGTACGTCCCCCTACAGTAGGTAGCCTGGCTTTCTCCCCACGCTGCAGTATTAAGTGTAGTTTTCCCCAACCATTTCGTACAAGTCGATAACAAACAGGAAAATAGACAAGACAATATCGCGAAAATATAGTCCACTCTTCTTCAATGTTTCTCGATATTTTTATCTCCGTATTTAAGGGCCCAAACCACTCGAGGTATCCGCGATCGTCGTAGACGAACCAGCGGCGGCAGCCACATGCTCCACAACACCACAGGCGCCCTCCTTCCCTCCTCCTCCTCCTCCTCCTCCTCCATCAACAGGCGAGACGGCCCACAGAGCGCCGGGGGGTACTTCCGCCACGAGCCCCCCGGAGAATTGCCACTTCACCATGTTCGGAAGCTCCCAGACCAGGTACACCCTGCCCCCCGCGGGGAAGGCTAGCTCGGGGGGGGCGGTGGCCGTGATGGTGACGCCGCCCTCGGCCCTCTCCTCAAACGTCCACGGAAAATCATTTCCGTTCGTGGCGACGCTGAGCCCGAGCTCTCCGCTCTGATCCACCATGTCGTCACAGGACGGTGCATGCTGTTCTCCGTGGCCGCCAGCCTTAGGGGTGGGAGAGGACTCGTTCCTTGTCTTCGGGGGGAAGATTGGGGCCAGCTGGGCCAGCACCTGGAGGGGGCCGAGGCTAGGGGCGAGAATCGCACTGGTCTTAGACTTGACAGAGTCATCCCCTTTGGAAGACGACCTGGAACAGAGACAATAAACCACAAAATGACGACAGAGATATGGGGGAGGAGTATGTCGGTGAGGGGGGGTAAGGAGACGGGAGTGACCAAGCGTCGATCGAGCAGCAAGTTCACGGGGCTACAAAATAAGCCACAACAACGCACCTGAGGAACCATTTGTCGCCCTCTGCAGCAAGTACCACGCTCCGGTCGGCCTGGGCCACGAACCGTTCCCGGGGTAGGGCGAACGCCTTGGTGAAGAGAGATATCTTCACCTGCTCCAGGGCATCGTTCACAGGCTGAACCTGCACGCGTAGAATGTGCATGGTACTGTGGTGGTCTTTGCGGGTGCTCTTCCGTGTGATATATCTTCACCTGTTTCGGAGGATCGTTCACAGGCTCAACCTTAACGTGTAAACTGTAAATAGCCTATGATAGGGATTCAATATTGTGGGCGCTTCAGTGCGAGAGAAATGAAAGCATCCCCAGTGAAACCGTGTTTAGTATACTTCGTCCACGTTGTTCCGAGGCCTTGGCCGTGTTCAATAACGTGTGGATTTGGCGCGGTATCCCGCGTTTCGTGGTCGTTCAATGTTGATGTTCTCGATATCCTGCACATGACGGTGCTGGGGACGATAATACCGCGCCAGGAAGCGCTCAACCCTACAGAATCCCAGGTATTTCATCTTCGTCTTCAGCTAAACCACACTACTATTGTAGGGGGCTTCTGCGAATGGTGCGTTGCTTTCTGTGCTGGAGGATAAGGTTCAGATCAATGGTTTGGAGTTGAAGCCGAAACAGCCTCACAAATCTGCACCGTGTTCAAGCCGGTCCGCACGCGCTTCTCAAAACCGTGAATATTTCAACCAGTTTTATTGACACGGGTTTCAGGCAGTTACATCGGCGTCTTCGTCATGGTTCGACTAGTTGACTATTGGAAGAAGAGCTAGCTGTTCGGGAGTCTCTGCGCCAGTCTCTCTGCCTTCTTCAGTCGTCAGTGCAGCATGGTTCCGACGGAAAACTCTGAATGGTACTTGGACACGCAACCCCGTCCTCGTCCGGGCCCACCTTTTGCAAAACCCAGCGGGCGTTGCCGGGAACTGCAGGAACAACGCCGCCGCTCCACACCCACTTCACTTCGGTGGCTTCCCAAACGAGAAAGATCTTCCCGCCGGCGGGGAGGACCACGCCGTCCGGGATGCTTTGTTCGCGAGCCGCTATAGTGAAGCCGCTGGAGTCTTCGTTGTCGAACCTCCAGGGGAACCGTTCGTCATCGAGCGACAGCCGAACCTCGCCGCTGAGCTGATTGGCCGAACACACACAGGCAGGCAGACAGGGAAAGGGCTTGGTTTCGTTACGTTGTGGGAGCGGAGCTAGTACCATCGAACCACGTTGGTTTGGAATTCATTTCGCATATCACGACATTGCTGCCGACAGTCCGCTGAGTGAAGATGCCTCGAGGAAAATGTCACAAGGGAGACCGATAACTACAGTATACTGCCCGATCATTGGAGCTCGCTCGTGCACCACTATTGTCTTCCGGGGGCCCAAAAGATAGTGTAAAGCTGGAACAAACACGCCACACACTGTTGATTTTTTCATTTTGTCTATGCAAATGTATGTTGTTGTTTTCTGGCGTCCTTTTCATTTCATTGATCATTTGTCGATTGTTTTGCAATGACTCACATCGCTGCAGCCAGGCTTGAACACGGGGGCGAGGCTGGCCAGTGCCTGGAGCATTCCCAGCCTGAATAATTGTTCAACCGATGGCGCGCAGTGGGAACGCTTTAAAGGAACAAGAATGGCGATCGTGCTTTCGCCCGTTGGCGCATTGTATTTGAGGTCTTGCACGAAACAGGAATAATATTCACTCCTTCTGTCGATTTCTTCGCGCCAGAAAAAAACGAAACCTGGTTTCATATATTTTGAGGTTGAGGCAACACATTGAACCGCATAGACATAGGCCTTTTTGTCATAACGGACTGTTTCTCCCACCACCAAGAAGCAGTTGGTGCAAGAGGGGTCGTAAACCCGATTCCAAGAGCTGCGTCCACCTGTCGGCAAGCAGGCAAGAAAGCCGAAGTAACATGGTGCTGTGCAGCTTCGGTTTGAATTAACGTAGCTCGAGGTTGTGGACCGAGCTCTTGTGTGCATACATACAACTACACTTCGCGCCTCTTGGTTCTCATACCCGCCATCCACAAGATCGAGCGAGTACACTTCCATCCATCTACCATCTACAAGAACGAGGAAAATTTGGAAAAATCGTGTGGGGTGTAGACAAGAGGGGGCAGACAGTTCCATGTTTTTGGGCCACGGGGCCGAGAGCTTGCCATGGAACTTGGCCTCGGGCATGGTTTGCGGACGAAATGACGGCGCATCTACCCATCCATGTGGCAAGATGTACACATACCGGGGAGCGATGATGGCTCGGTTGTCTCCACCTTCGGTGGAAAAAAGATTTTCCAGGAACCAGTCATCGCCCTGCCCCGCGAGAATCACCTGACCACAAACGAAGCAACAGGCAACATCCCGTCTAAATCGACGTCAAGTGCGAGAAATCGTTCGTTTCAGAGGTTGACATACACTCAGTCAATGACATACGCGATGACGCATCAGGATAAAACATGGTGCGATATTCACTCACGATTCACTGGTACGTGGGAGCTCTGAATCGGCCAAGGGCGACCTCACCTTTCCTTCCTTGCCCTGGGCTAGCTGGTTGGGGAATTGCTTCGAAAGCGTGGATATCTTGAACTGCTCCATGTCGCGAATAATCCTTGGGCGTCCTGAAAAAGTTACGTGTTCGGGTTGGCAAGTCATGTATACTGTGTGTGAGGTATCCATCTCCAAAGATGGGAAATGTGGTGCTTTCGGGGCGCCAGGGACCAAGAACGGAATGCAAACCGGAAGAATGATGGGCATGCGCGGGGTTGTTCACCGTTCTTTGTATCTAGGCGATGCGCTCTTCTTGCGGAGGAATCAAATCTAGACTATGGAGGGACGTGCTTTGAATGTGCTTTGAATGTATGTGCTGCGTATACCCTTACTTGCTCGCGGCCCCTCTGCTCCCTGTGGACAAATCGACGATTGACGACATGGACAGTGGAGGACGGACACAAAGGGCTTGCATTCATCGGTACAAAAACTACTCAGGATACCCGTGTGGCCACCTCCAATACCGATGTTCCGGGTGCTAATAACAACCTCTCAATTTGACACGCGTGAGGGCTGCGGTTTGTTGCCGTTCATCGTACCAGAACAAAATTACGAACAAACCCGAGGAGGGCGTTGGGTGCGCGCACACACGTTGCGTGTGCGCTCGTCCTTTGGCCGTTCCCCCCGTAGCTCACCTGTCCTTTGCTGCTATCTGGATAGTTTTGAAGCAGAGCTGTGCAGGGTGTGAATGAGGATGAATTGGGTTGGGTGGGATTGGGCTTGGGCGGGACGGGTAAATTGCGGACTTTTCCAGAACGAAATCCCCGCCTCCCTTCCTTTCTGCGCACATACATGTGAGGTCGTGGCGTGTGGCCCGCCGGACATCCTTGGTGTGAAGAACGGTTCCATGCTCCTGCTGTACTGCTCTGCTGTGGAGAGGCCACAATCTGCAATGTGGTATCCTGCTGCTGCTATTCCGGGCCACATGAATTTTCGGGGAACCCTGCGCACCAGTTATTTGAGTCTTTCCGCCGACTGGTCCGCTTCTGTGCACCGTTCCTGGGTTCCACGTGTTTTTGCCCATGTGATGTTACGGTTCCAGAAACAAGCGGTTCTGGATTCCGTGGACTGGTCTGCCCCAAGCTTCTTGTCAACGACGGGGTCAAGCGTACCAATGTATGAGCCAATCGTTGTTCCGCTCGGAACATGCCGCGGAGCGGAGAGTGGGGTGTTTCTCCGTCTTTAACCGATAACCCCGCCAACTATGGTACGCATACATAGCCTATGCACATGCGGATAGTCACATAGGTCAGGAACCGGGTTCGAGATTAGCCTGGTACGATAGATGGCGGCCGAAAGGATACTCAAGGCCCGAATGAGGCTACCAACGACGAGTAGTACAGTAGTTACAGAGGCGCGTTTTGCTATTATTATGTGGGTCTCGTGCGAAACCGATACTACCGTCGTCGCGGGCTCCGTGTCCGATTCCGAAAAAGAAACTCTGCAGGTGGTCTCTTTCGACTCCATCTAGGAACTATTCACCTCTGCAATGAATGCCGTTTGCATTGTGAAACTAATTGGGTGGGACTGCATGCGTAGTATCAGCAGATGAGCTTTGACGGCGACCGTTTGTGCTTGGGCACCCCCTCAGTTGAGAGCGCTTTGGCATCAACACGCCGAAATCAAAGCGCGTGTGCAGCCCGTCAAGCGCGGGTGATTGTTCACTTGGCGGCCGAAACAAGGTTGCACGTGTTCTGCAACAACCACTCTGTCGGCGTCGGACGTATTGCGGTATTGAAGAAAATGTTTTCACGAAAAAAAGCGTTTGTGTACGTAGTACCTCTTATGATACGCTGCTGGACGCTCCGGGCCGAAACGACGCACTCATTCATAGCACCTTCATGGCAATAAAATGACGCATCACCCCACAATCGTCGTTGTGCCTGCCATCAATGACCCCGCTCCAAAAAAACAGATTCAAATTGGAGAAGAAAAGAGAGGGCTCTAGAACGAGTAAATTATCAACTCCACTATTATTAAAGCCAAGGCGCGACCACTGCCGCACACCGAGGTTGCCTGAAGTTCACTGCAGCAATGTTCAAGGCCGGGAACTAAACCGCGTCAAGGTGTTTAAACACAGAGACTCTCCAACTGTTAAAACTCCACACTAAAACAGAGTTGCTGGCAGGGGCACTAGCCATTGCAGCACCCACTTCCGCACCCGTCACCATCCCATCAAAGCCTGTCTCTACGTGCCTTTTCCGAGCTCTTTGCTCGACCGCGATCAAACGGCGACCTACGAAGTAGTCCATACGCTTGAAACGCTTCAGCAACCAAATTTTGTTTCGGCCACATGGGAGGTGCGAAGGTCCTTTTGGGAACTTCGTTGTTGCTGTGCGCTAAGGGCGCCCTGCTCCATTTTGGCGCGTGCGGCTGCTGCTGTGTGGGAGTCAAATGGTACTAAACCAGCACACGCCATATAATCTTATGAATCAAAAAGAGCAGACCGCGGAGGCCACGGGAAACAAGCAACGCCTTGCCTTAAAGCCAAAAAGCATGACTTCGACCGAGGCACATGACAGTGGCAACAACCGTGCTGGTGGCTCGGGGCCACTGAAACTCGCTGTTTTGAAAAGGAGAACGAGACAGCCGCTCGCTCTTCTCCCTCTCTCTGCGAAAAGCCCTACTACTGCGCCCTACGACCAACGACACCCATCTGAAAACACAAACTTGATAGTTCTATTGTGATATCCATCTGACAACATCTCCATCTGCAAACAGACAATGTGATATTTCTTGTGACATCCATCAGGAAACACAAATGTGATATTTCTTTCGCAACATCCTTCCAACATAAAAAACATCTTCATCTGAACACAGAAAAAGGCGATACCGTTTTCTTTTGTGATACTCATCGGAAAACATTACCATTTTCTTTTGCGATACCCATCGGAAAACATAAATGTGATACTGCTTGTGATAGGTTCTGCTGGCCGCCATGTACAAGGGAACCCTCCAACACTAAACTCCTATATATTATAGTTCGTGTTGGGATATTGTGATATTGTAGTATCAAGGAACAAGTCGCGTGCTTCACCAGGAAGCTTTCCTATAGCGCTATTACATAACGTCGTCGCACTTGTAACCCCGCCCAAGCCGCCATAGACACGCACACAAACAACAACACGACAAGACAATGTCGTGGTTTTTTTTTTTTTTTTCCTTTTGAGCTCGTCAGCGGAAACAAGCCGCCGACAAATAATCTCCGCTTGTTCTGATAAACGTGGGAGTCGCCGCTTCTTCTGACACCAGAGCGTCGTCAACCCCCCGGGCAATTCTGTTCTGTGTCGTGCCGCCATCAGCAGCAGCCGCACATGTTGTCCAGGGGACCGCTGCCGTCGGGCTTCATCCTTACCAGGAACCGAAGGCGGGGCTCCGCTCGCAGGCTCTCCATGAGAGGGTGCCATTTGTGGAACAGCTGGTCGGTCTGAGAACCATAAAAAAACAAACATAGTACAACGCAAACAATGGGCAAACAAGAGCGCGTTGGAGTACTGTTTTATTGCGGTCGTTTTCCGAGTTTCATGTCCATCATTGGGCACGCACGCCGCGACAAGCTCGTTGCACGTGTGCGCTGAGGAAACGAACGCACGGTTGAGCGTGCGAGTAAGCAGTTGGGGGGATTGGACGTACACGGCATCTTTGACACCACAACGCATTGCTGCTGTCGAACCGTACTGGGCAGAAAACAGCTCCAAAAACGACACGAACTTACCTTGCGTTGAGCTACATAGCGGCCGAGACCGCGGGGTTTGTGGCACGGGTGAACACCAACAATTTCATCAACTACACAGCAGGTGGACACGACAACGAAAAACCTTTGCCTGCCTTGGAGGAAGCAACGCTTCCAAGTCAAAGAGCGACAACAAGGGGCCGACATCATCTACAGCACACACAAGCTTTGCCTGCGCTGCAGGAAGCGCGCAATAGAGCCAAACAACAAAAACAACGAGGTGCGTAGCACCCTCGACAAGGCACAAGCTTTGCCTGTGTGGGAGGAAACAATCGCACAACAGATTCAGACAGCAACAACCAACACTCCTCTCCCAACACACAAGCTCGGCCTGTGCTATAGGAAACGCGCAAGAGGGGCCAAACTACAACAACGGGATGCTCAACACCCTCTAGCCACACAATACAAAGACGCAACGAGTACACAGCACCCTGTAGCCACAAAAAGGTACAGTACCTGAAAGTAGGGGACTCGATGGTCGGGAACCTGAACATGGACCTGGAAAGAAGGGCTGATGGAGTGGAAGCTAAGGCCGTAAACCTAGGAACAACGCACGAAAACGTCGCACAAATAAGGGTGGAGCGCTATCATCAAAAACATCAAAAGGGTGGTGGAGACGGGATCGATTGTTCAAAGAAAAAATACAAAAAGTAGAAGAGTAGCGCCCACCATCGACAAAACAATTCCAAGAAAAAGCAAGGGAGAGGAGCGCCATCAGCGACAATCAGGGGTGGAAACGTGATGATCGGTAGGTGCAGGACGAAAGCGTTTCCTCAGAAACCTCCCGAGAGAGTCGACTTATCGGTGTTTTGGTAAGACATGTTCATGTGAAGATCCTGTGTCGAAATGTAGACAAACAGTTATGGCTACAGGGATGGTTCCCGAAACGGTGCCTTGGCAGCTGACACCCCAATTCTTGGAATATCCCAACCGTTACATACGCCTTCAAATCTCGATAACTCGAAGCCAATAATAGCAACAACGCAATACAAAAATAACGAGGTCCCCGGAGTATTACCATACTGTGCGGATCCCCGGCTTAACACGCCAAAAATCTACCGATGGGTGCACACTGGCGCCAGAATGAATGCGACAATACCAACACGCCAAAAATCTACCGATGGGTGCACACTGGCGCCAGAATGAATGGGACAATACCAACACACAGGCAACGACAACAACGAAGAGGACGACAACGACGACAACGACAACAACAGCAGTCACCAACGCACCTGACTGCAAGATCGCCCCCCGACGGTTTGAATCATGAGCCGGTGCAGCGGCAGGGCCGAACCAGAACTCGAAGATGCGGCGGGATTTTCCGCCGCCGCCGCCGCTGTCCCGCGGACAGCAGGGGACGCGGCGTCGACAGACGCCTCGTTGTTCTGGACGGTCTCGGGCCGTAGCACCAGCCTGAACTTGAGGGTGTCTATCTCCTCATCGAAGGCATCTTCGTCGTCCACCTAAAAAGGCGGGCAAGGTGTACGTAGGTACCATGGCCACCGGCCGAAAGATAGAAATGTGGCAAACAGGGGGGACGAGAGAGGGGGAGATAGACATCAGCGGGCAAGTCAAAGGGGCTGGAAGGGGCCTAGAAAAATCCGCAGCAACGAGCTTGAATGCGAATGCTAACACATTTTCCTTTCTGAGAAAGTGTGTTTAGCATCGACCGCGCCAACCGGTTGACCAATGAAAAAGGCATCAGCCGTAGGCCGGCGAAAGACAGATACCACTAACAAAGGTCAAGGTCGATCATGATCTTCGTTTCGGCGAAGGGGCGGCTAGAAGCTAGGTTATTCTCCGGATTGTGTGGGGGGATCGTTTGACGTCCAATTCATACGCATTCGACGTGTGTTCTGGACGCTCCAGCCGGTGATCAACAGGAGAACGGCCACGTACGATGCATTTCAGGCCCTAGACCTGATCGGTTCCAAGAAGAATTAACACAAAGCAGCAACAGCAGCAGCAGCGGCGGCGGCGGCGGCGGCGGCGGCATGCCTCATACACAAGACGGCAAAGCAGACACGGCAACCACCAGCAGCAGCATGGAAGGGCCGCTGGCTGCGGCCATCACTCATGCCCACTCGCTCTTGCTTCGTGCTCCATCTTGTACTTGCCTCATACGCGATCTTGACCATCGCCGAGTTGGTAGACGAGTTCCCGGAGTCGAAGAAGGTCCTCATAGTCTCCGACCGCCAGGAAAACTCCACCACGAAATTCTTCGCCAGGGGGTCCGCCAGCTGCTCCACCTGAGACCGTGGGGTGGGGGGGGGTGCACCATGGCCGAGTCATGAAGGAAAAGAAGGAGGGAAGGAAGGAAGGAAGAAAGGAAGGAAGGAAGGAAGGAAGGAAGGAAGGAAGGAAGGAAGGAAGGAAGGAAGCAAGTATCGGAAAACCTCTTGAGGAGATGGGACACCCGTGGGACGAGATGGGAAAACCGCGAGAGGAGAAAACAGACGGTAGGTGAAAGGGAAAAAAAAAAAAACTGTGAGAGAGAGGGTCAGGTGAAACAAGAAGGGCCAACAAAAAGGCTGTGAGGGCGAAGGGAGGGATGAAACAAGTTGTGTGAGAGAGAGATGTCCAGGACAAAAAAAGAACGGACAGAGGAGCGGTTAAAGTATGAGAGAAAGGCCGCTCAGGCGAGAAAAACAACACGGCGTGCGTTTGGAGAGAAAACAAACAACCAATTAAAACTTGAATATTCAAACGCGGAGGAACGGCGGCGGGAGGTCGAGCAGTCTCGTCGAAACACCACCACCACCAACATCGCGTTTCGTGCCCATCAAATTCCTGTTGCCGTGGTGGACGACACTGGCGAAAATGGAATCCCGCGCGCGTTGGCGCGGGACAAGTCCATCGCCACCCTGTTGCCATCCACATCCACATCACACATCACACATCACACATAGCGCTACCGCACTCATGCACCTCTAATTTTGGGGCGAGGCCGGATTTCTTAGTACAGCTCCCTCTTGTGACGGCGGCCGTATTGGTTCGAAGTGTACAGGGGTTCTAAACCGGGGTCGCTACCGGTGCAAGTCATACATCTCATCTCCACTGCCAAGTTGCTATTATGCGTGGGGGTACCATCTGCATCTGCGGTGGGTAAAGACCGGCGAAAAAAGCCGAAACGCCGCCGGACGCGCTGGAACGCCCGCAGCGTTAGTAGCGCCGGCCAAGTCGCCAAGCCAATCCAGAAAAAAAAAAAAAGACACTTCCGTGACACTGCAACTCCCAACAGAGTGGAATATGCCTCGCAAAGAGAAAGCAAAGCTCCTGGTCGCGAACATGTTTACACGACGTTACTCACCTCGAGCCACGTGATGCCGGCTGCTTCCACCTCCTCTGCGTTCTTGAACGAAATCCCGGTCCTGCCCTGGCCCATGGATGAGTTCATCTCGAGCTTGGCCGCTGCGCGAAAAAACATCGGCAAGGATAATATGATCATCGAGCTGGAGATAACGGTGTGGCGGTCTGACTCTTGTATGTGCGTGTGCCCTTGGCGTACTTCTCTCCTTGTGCGTGGTGCCGTTAGATTTGATCGCGTTCGCGATTCGCTGGCCCATGTAGGAAGATGTTGAACACCTACACAACGTCCCTTCCGCAAAGCGACCGAAAAACGTCCCTTCCGCACAGCAAAGAGCAGAGGACGGAGAGACAGCTACCGAAGCAGCAACGCATGCAAAAACAAACAAAAAACGGGCCATGAAAAAAGACGAGAAATTGCGAGCATCGCTTCACAGTTCCAAACAAAACAAGAGCGCGTGGGCTAACCATACCCCTAAACCGACGTTCTCAAAAGTGCTCAAATCCAAGAATCGGGATGTAGGGGGAGGGCGCGGAGACACATGCCTATACCTGCAGCAGGCTTGGTCGCACACCTTCAAGACAACACATGAAAGGGTTGTGTGCCGAGATGAATATCTACCTACGGCAGCAGCAGCAGCAGCAGCAGCAGCAGCAGCAGCAGCAGCAGCAGCAGCAGTCTTGACGGAATAACTAACTCGAGATTAATGCAGTACTTGCCTGCGGCAGCCTTGGCGTAACTTCTTGCGGTGGCGGTGGAGACGAAGGGGTGTAGGTAGAACTTGGGCAAGGAACGCCGCAACGACAGGTGGAAGCCCGGCCGTGCCGACAAGCACTCCTTCTCCTCTTCCGCCAGCAGCGCCCGGTAGTGCTGAGAGGAGACAGACGCAGAACCCGAACGATACAAACGCAGAACCCGAATGCCACACAATAGACGAGGAATAAAGGCGTGTTGGAGGCAGTCGATGCGAACGCAAAGGTTCAGTGACAGAGATACGTACAAAAACACCTAGAACAAACGCCCCCTAACTAACAGACAAGGATCAGGGCTTGTTGAAGGCACAGGCGATGGGAACGGGTTCAATGATTAAACAGAGAACCTATGCCAGCCTTCACATGACGTTTGCCCGGTTCAACGCCAGCACGCGTCACACAAACCTTCAGACATGACCCGCAAGAACTATAATGGTACAGTACAGTACGCCCACAACTTCAGAGAATCTGTCCCGGGCATGTGTACTACAGGACCGGCCGCACACTGTGGTCGGAAGCGGGACAAGACTATGATTTCTCAATATGCCGAGTACGGAGGATGCACCTGTCTAGGGACAACAGGGGGGCGGCACACACGATATTTACCGTGCAAGAGACCAACAAGCAAAATGCAAGCACACGTCACGCTTCGGAAGCAAGAGAAGCGACGAAGAAATCACAAGATGCATTTTGGTACGCTTGATCTGCGCAAGCGTCAGACCAAACGTCAGATCAAAAACGACGTTCTTTCCTCTATCTCTCTTTTCCCCCTCTCTCTCTCTCTCTCGCATTCACATACACACACACCCTCTATTTCTACACAGGACAGAAAAAACGACACACACACCGACCCTCTTCGAAAAAAACAAAAAAATGTCGCTCGCGTACCTCAGTAGCGTGCCCCCCCTCCACCGCAGCGAGGAGGCCGGAACACGTCTCCCCCACCCTCAACACCTCGCCCGTTCCCAACCCCAGCATGGCCGAGAAGAAGCCGACGGTGACTCTGGCCGCCAGACTCTCGAGCATGCTCTCTCCCGTAGCAACGGAGGTCGCGGTATCATCAGAGGAGGAGGGGGGGGGGGCTTCCCCCCCACCCCTGAGTGTCGCTGCTGCTACAGCGGCCGGAGACGACGGCGACCGAATGGTGCCGCGTTTAGGAGCGACCGCCCTGCGATGGGTTTTTCGGTTGCAGGCGGGGGTGCTTGCTTGTCATTCAATGCCGAAAGTCTTGCCGACACATAGACGGATGACCCTGTTCTGTACCACCTCGTTTATGGTGGTTTGAGTGACGTACGGAGCTTCGCCGATTTGCGCCTCTCGCGTACTGTGTCGTGGTGTGTCTTAGCTGGTTCGAGTGATCTCTGTCTCTGTCTGTCTGTCTGTCTGTCTGTCTGTCTGTCTGTCTCTCTCTCTCTCTCTCTCTCTTTTTCTCTCTCTCCCATGTGTACGTGTCCACACGGCAAGGTATCAATAAAACTACACACAATTGATTTCACCTCGCGGTTGAATTGAAACCCTCCTCCAGGAACGCCCTGTCTAGCCTCTTCCCGATGAACACGATGCGGCACCCCCGGTCCTCGCCATCGCTCCACCTCCCCGCCTCCCTCCTTCAGAGGGTAACAAACGGCACAAAACAAGGCGGAGCAAAGACACATGCATGCATCATGACAGTTGAATGCGGGATGAATGAAGTGCTGCTGAGCACATACCCTTTATCATTCAATATTAACATATTAACAAGGCCTTTATGGGTCAAACCTTCTCTCGTCTCTGACGATAAGCACATACAGCCTTTCCAGAAGAAGTCGCAACGTTCGCATTGCAGGCGCGCGTGCCAAAACATGTCGCTGCAGTGTGTCCTTGCTCACCACAGGCGTCGCAAGTGCGCCGAAACCACAAACACCAGCGCCAACCTGTGCTTCGCCTCGTGCCCGGGCCTCCCAAATCGCCGACACACACACAGGCCCCATCCCATCGGAATACCAGGAGGGGACGGTGGGTCTGGCTGATAGTACGTGCCGTTCTTCCCACAACACATTTGTGGGAACAACGCAAAGCACTATCAGCCCGATTCACCTCCTTCCCCTGGCAACCCAATGGGATTGGTCTGTGGGTGTCAACCATGTGGAAGGTCTGGCCAAGAAGAGGAGCATTGCATGGTGCTGGTGCGGGTGGCTTCGGGGCACTTGTAGCAGCACCTGTGGTGAGCAAGGACATAGGTCGCACTACTCCAAAGCGGCGGTGTTGATTTCATGGAGATGCGGGGGCTCGGCGAATGGGACGGGGCCTGAATTGGCCAACATGCGGTAGGAAACAATAGGTAATCCAGGTTTGGGATATCAGGCTATTACGGCCATGTTGCGCGATAACATGAGAAAAATCAATCAAAGTCGATCGTGTATCGTACCGAGTAGGGGGGCTAGTGTGAATACTCACGTGTAGATGCGGATATGCTGCAACATCTAGGGGGTTTCGTGTATCACAACTTGTGTAAGGGCGACCCCCCCTCTGCCGTGCGTGGGCCAGTAGCGTGCCCTCTTCACCTGGTACTGACAAGGTCCTGCGTCAACTTTTCCTTCGGACCCCTGACAATAAGCACCCAATACCCAGAGACGGTCGTTCACAAGCGTTAAACGCCTGGCCCTCAACGACGGCATGCAACACATCGCGAACCGCTCTCCTTCGCTCAAACGACAAAAAAAAAAAAAAAGAATCCGCGGAAAAACCACACGACACCCCACACCCGATCATCCATGGACACATGAAACCATTAGCAAGCATTACAAAATAAAATACTTAGTACCATTGGTTATATCTCGTACGGTAGTCTTTCCGTGTCTGTTTGTACATTTCTTCAAAATAGACAAATAATATAATCTTCGGCAAGAGAAAACTCTGCTACACGCGCCAAACCATCAAGCGGCTCATGAAACCGTCAGGGGGCCACACCACACACACCACACACAAAAAACAAAACATACAACTCTTCGACACTCTCCAAAACCATTGAAGCAACACATGAACTGTCACCCACACAAACACAAAACAAAACTCTTCCCGACACTCACGTCTCCATGACGTCCGACACGGCGTGAAACACGAGCTTCCTGTCGGACCCGGCCACGGCGAGAACAGCCTTCGAGCGAAAAAGAACGCCCTTCTCGCGAGGGAGGAACGCCAGCGAGCGCACCCAGCGCGCGAAGGGGAGGGACAGTACCTCTGTCGACTTCTTCACCAAGGAAAAGGTGCCCACCTGAGTCGATCGATACGGAGGCGTTCTTTTTTGTTTTCGGTCCCGGGATGGTAGAACGACGACGACAACGACATGACACAACAACAACAACAACAACCACAAACAACAACAGACAACAACCAACAGCAAGAACAGCCACAAAAATCAAAAACAGAAGACAACCCAGCAACAACAACAACAATAACAACGACAGGCAACAACAAACAAGACCAATCACAAAAATAAAAAAACAATTAACAACTATAAAAACAACAACAACACACAATTAAAACGACGGCGACATCTTGCAGTGGTTTGGAAGGGGGCAAGCGGTTGGTTAGGCTGAGGAGTAGGGCCTACCGGGAGTTCTTGTTGCTCTTTGGGGTGGGATGATTCTCGGTGGGGGAATAGATGGGGGTTCTCTAGGCATGTGTATCGGCGCGGCTGTCGCAGAGGTCGAGAAGGGCATGGCTTTTGGCAACGCGGCAAGCGTATGTTACCTTTATCCGCTCCCCCCACAAGCGTTCCGAACGTCGGAGATATACGCATTATGCCAAAAACAAATTTCCTCAGTCTTTTGGCTGAGTGAGTGATGAAGAGAAGAAATTGGGTCGCCGCATCACTCGTAAAAAGAAAAAGAAAAACAGAGCGTGTGCATACAATCTCCACTTGCTGCTGCATGTTCACACCTGGCTGCTGTGGCGGGTGTCATGGCTATGGCCCGTGTGATCGTGCTCCAGGTTGCACACCTCTCCGTCCAACGTACCATCCGCGGGGCCGCCGTGATCGTGATCAAGAGCGCATGGTTGAGGCCCTTGAAAAGAAGTTTCCAAAAACAAATGCGGGGATTGACAGCATTTAAAACGGGGAAACGTGGTGTGTTTCTCGTTCCTTGTTGAGGGGTGATACAGTATGCACGCGGAAGATTGGGTTGTGGGCATTGGCTTCGTTCTGAAGAGGTTGGGTGGAGTTCACAAAATTAGCGGGCCGAAGAAAGAGCAGCAGCAACAAAAACAAGCACAATAGCAACAACAAAAACAACAACAACAACAACAACAACAACAGCATTGACAACAAAAACAACAACAAAAGCAACATCAACGACAACGACGAAAGCAGCAACAACGGCGACCACGAAATCAACATCGACGACCTCGCTGTAATTTCCTTGCCGCGGAAGTCTTTCTTAGGTAGCAATGGACTACCGAATTTGTCGGCGCTAACACAAACGGGTCACGTCAACAAGTACCCGTATGCGCTCAACACTACGTTATACGTTTTGGCTACGGCGCCATGTACACACGATTCGCGTCAGAAACAGGGCTCCCGGGCAAGCGCTTCCCGAAGACCCTACAAGACCTGTTATGGACACAGACCCCCTGGGCGAGAAATGAATCTTGTGAGGAAATGGAACAGGGAGGGGGTACGCAGACCCTATTCCCTAACCCAACTTCCCCGATCGTATCCTTTATCCAACATGCTTGGGTACTCGAAAAGTCTAGCCGCCGAGGTGGCGCATACACGGGGTCAGTTTCTATCCGGGTTCGCACGCGCCAAGACTCATCGATACGAGGGATTCCAACGACCATAAATTTGGTTGGGGTGTGTTTATGTTTTTGTCTCGAGTACTTTTTGTGTTGCGGGTGCGCAATACCTCTACCGTACCTTGTAGGGAGCAGCCACCCTCTTCGCCGCCGCACGCGGAGTCGCCGTGGCTGTGGTCGTGCTCATGTGCGTGGGAGTGCGAGTGGGCATGGTCGTGGGAATGCGGCTCTAGGTCCATCTCTGGCTCTTCTTCTGCCTCCCTGTGAACGGACCAAAAACGATTGTGACAACACGAAAAAGAGAGGGGGGAAAGCATTAGAGCGGGGAAGGGGATGATAGATGCATTAGGCTGCGACGCGGGGTCGTTGGTACTCCTGTTGACTGTTTCATTTCACGTGGATTCAGTACAGGACAACAAGAGCGCATCACGAGGACAACAATAACAACAACAACAACAACAACCACGATGATGCCAACAGTCCACAACAGGACGACAAACAGCAACCGCCACGTCACCGCCACACACGCAACAGCAAAACCACGTGCCTCATGAGCCTGTCGAACGCTCCCAGCCCCTCGAGCTCTCTTGGATCGAGCTTCCCCCTGCTGCATGACACCACCCCCGCTGTGCCGTTCATGGACCGGATGCGCTGGAACACTTCCACGGCCGTCGACGCCGGCACCAGATCGACCTAAATCACGCCAGATCCCGCAGCAGCAGCAGTGGCGTTTTGTGACGAACGAACAAGAAAGCTGAGGCACAATCGAGAAGGGAAGACTCCGCAAGTAGCAGCAGCAGCAGCTGCTGCAGCAGTAGAAGCGCTGGGCTTTGCGGGAAAAACAGGAAGAAAAACAACACGAACACACACACGCACACAGATGCCAATATAGTGCATTGCACATTTCTCGAAGACATACAATTTGATTGTTGGTCTCCATCCAGGGATCTTGATTTACCCGCTGGCACTGACGTCTTTTCATTCGTCAGCGGAGTAGCGCCGTAGATGCTATTGAGCAAAACACACACACACGCACACACACGTCAATATAGTGCAATGCACATTTCTCACACTTATATTTGATTGTTGGTCTCCATCCAGGGATCTTGATTTACCCGCTGGCACTGACGTCTTTTCATGCGTCAGCGGATTAGCGCCGTAGATGCTATTGAGCAAAACACACACACACACACACACACACACATCCGCTGCATTCCTCCCGAAACAACGGTCCTGTCCAGACGAAAGCTTTGCAGATCACGCCAATTTCCAAAAAAAAAAAAAAAAACTCCCTCCCACACACGTTAGGTTTCTGCCAATGACAGTAGTCCGAATTCAACGCTGACGTACCTTGTTCACCACAATCCTGTCCGAGAACATGATCTGCTGGAAAGCCTCGTCAATCTCCTCCTCCCCCTTCCCTCCCTCCTCCTCCTCTTCCCCCTCTTGGAGCCGAGGAAGGATGTTCTTGGCATCGACTAACGTTACTACCCCGTCCAAAGCGAAGGAGTTCGATATAGCCGGCGTCTGAACATTGGTAGCGGGGGCAAGGGGCAAGGGTCCGGCCGTCAACACACGCAACCACAAAAACTAACGCAAATCAGCGCCGCACCGCCATCGCTAAAGAACGATAGTGAACTTGGGTGGGCCCAAGACCAGACAAAACAAGACGTGGCTGTGCTTCGCACGTTGACCAACCGGCACAAATCTGCGTTTTTCACCCCCGGCAGCACGGGCCCGGGGAAGCGAAGCGGCGGGGGCGACGAAACGGAACCACCTATTCCCCCGATCCGGCACAAAATCTACGTTTTTCACCCGCGGCAGCGAATGGCCCGGGGGGAAGCGAGCGACCAACCGAAACCGCTTTGCACCACTGCCCCCTCAACCGGCATCACTCGCCTTTCGTTCCTAAAAAATTCTGTTTCTACAAAGTGCAAACCGACCCCCCCTCTCTCTCTGTTGTGGTCACCTGTAGCAGGGTGCGGACAATGGGGACGGGGTCGGCCATTCCCGTGGTCTCCACCAGGACCGAGTCTAGCGCCCTCCCGCTGCCGCCGCTGCCGCCGCCGCCGCCGCCTTCCTCCTTGGCCTTGGCCTCTTCCATCTTGGCCAGCACTGACGAGAAGGCTCCGAGGAGGTCTCCCCTGACCGTGCAGCACATGCACCCGTTGTCCAAAACCACAACCTACACAGGAGGGGGACAAGCGGGAGGTTGACAGCAGCAGCAACCCGCGTTGTAAGCAAGCAGACACCATTGACCACCAGAAAAAGAAAACACCGAAACTGAAGAGCGGTAACTCTCGCCGTAAACTGGTTGTTGTCACCGGTTCGAAACAAAGCACGATAACGAAAGCGGGCGTTTGATTCTGATTTGCTTTTGTTCCAACAGAGGCGAGACCCGTTCTTGTCGAAATCTACAGCAGCATCGAGTTTATTCGAGGGGACCAATGGTTCATGGCGGGTATCGCCACCAGCCTTGCTTACTCCTCACCCCACGCGGAAAGGTACCCTTTTTTGTCGTTTTGGTGACCAACTAAAGGTCAAAGCTTCGGGGCAGCGCGCCCTGCCGGTAGTACGCCTACACGCCCCTGCTGCCCGAAATCCATCACACCACTATTTAGGCGGCGGACCATGACCAAAAACAAAAAAAACTCATGCGCGGAGAAAGCAAACAAACCTGCTCAGCAGCCGAAAGCCCATCCCCGTCAGCCAATAGATCTCCGTCGATCGGCACCTGACAGCAAGAGCACGGCATCACAAAAACAAGGCACACACACGTGACACGCGCATGTTGGGGCAAGGCCTAAGGGGTACACCCGGCCTTAAACGACGCATGCATGTTGGGCAAGTGCCACGAGTCCAGCCCATACCCGCTCTCAAATGACGCACGCGTGTTGGGGGGCATATCCCACGAGCCTAGGGTACAACCGCTCTCTCGAGACGTAAAAAAAGGGCGGACCAATACTTGAAACTGGGGAATCCGGTTGAGGCCATTAAGGAACATGAACATTTCACCCGCTCCGCATGCGTACAGCGTCATTGCTGTTATAGCTGCGACAGCTGCAGCTAGTGCGCGAACTTGAGAACCCCCTAGGGTAATGCTACACACGAATGGCGGCAACATAGGTATTAAGGCAGGGGGTCTTAGGGGAGCTCACAAATTGAGGCTGCTTGGGGAACCGTTGAGCACAGGTAGGTTTTCCTTCCCGATAGCATGATGATCGATGCCGCTCTTTGCAGTCTTTATGGGTCATGAAGCTGCTGACGATGGCGTGAAGTTCTAGTTCGTTCTGAGGTGGTTGGTGTGGTGCTCAAGTTATTAGATTTGCGACGTTCGAGGCTGTATCAATTTATATACTGCCAAGGTCTCATGTGCGGATGGTAACTGTAGCGATGCCAGACACGCCACCCCCCTACTGCTGTACATGCACCTCGCCGAACTCGTTCTCGATGACAGCTATCCGCTTCTCGCGCTGCACGTGCAGAAGGTGGTTGAGCATGGTAGTCTTGCCGGACCCCAAGAAGCCGGTCAGGATCGTCACTGGCACCTAATGCGGAAGAGACAACAAAAGAATTTGCACGCCACCCGAAACAAGAAAGGCGAATAAATAATAAATGAATCCTGTTACGTACCGCACAACCAGGTTCGAATCAAGAACAACAGCACGACTAGCTCAGAGGCCTAGCGGTGTCACAGCGCGGCGATTCAACAAAAGGAAAACAAAGTGCGATGCTGCCATTGTCCCTGAAGCACTGCGGTCAACTTTGGCGCGTAAGCTTGTCAAGGGCGAACTGAGAAAACTGCAAGGGGCCCACATCATAGAGTCGACAGAAGACAGACAGACACACAAAACACAGATACAAGCAGGCATGCAATGCACCAAAACAAGCAGATCGCGTCCAACCCCGTTTGCAGCAGCTTCGTTCTTCGTTACACCAAACCGATACACTCCCCCCCCGACCAAGAGCAAAACCACTCCCTCCTGTCCACCACCGCCATTCTTCCCCACACGAAAAACTCAGGTAAGCAAGAACCCCGCGCAGGCATGGCCCGCTTCCGGCGTGGATTCGCGGCATCTCCCGTGACCGAGGCGGTGCCACAAACCTTGTGGGAAGACGTCGCTGATGAAACGGCCGCCGCCGCCGTCGCCGCCGGCTTTCCGCCAGGCGGAGCGGAGCGACGAGCGGCCGCGCGCTCCACGTCACCGACCAGCACCAACGTGTCCTGAACACAAACAAGAAAAAAGAAGAAAAGAAGAAAAGAAGAAAAAGAACCAGAAGAATAACAAGAAGAAGAAGAAGGGACAAAAGAAAAACGCCGCAGGAACAACAAGGGGGGGGGCAGGCACAGGTAGAATAAGGGGCGGCGTGTTTTTTCCCGGGACTGTCATGTGGCGGGTGTCGGCACGCCGAATAGGCGGGGTTCCGTGCCGACGATAATTTTCGTCTTCACTTTTCGTCTTCACAAGTACTGCTCCTTCATCACCCCCCCGGGGGGAGGGGGGGGCACCGCAAATTCCGCGCGCTACCGCCTGGGCTGTCTCCTGTTTATACCTCTCTTCTGCAAGTCCCTTTGGAACCGCAGACCGCCCTTGTGGGCACCGTACACTCTCCTCGCACTACCGCCTGGTCTCTCCTGCTTGTTGATACCTCTGTTCTGCCATGTTGGGAGGATGAAACGAGAGGGAAAAGTCAGCGAGAGGCGACGTCGGCCCGGCCCAGGGGTCTGAGACCATCAAGGACATGCGAAAAAATGCGGCCGGTTTCATCAAGCGCTCGTTTTTGAGCAGAGACCGAAATATGCGAGGAAAACAACGAATTTCCTTCGCGAAACGCAGTGCCTGGCGTTGCAAACAACGGGACGTTTCAATATCAGTCCTCCCAGTTGTGCCGCAGGCACACGCGGGGCAAATCATCGCTGTTGGGTCGGGTAGCGGGGAGAGGTCTGTTGGAAATCACGCTCAGCACACTGCTCTTGTACAGTACATCCATCACTCGCCAACCTTGTAGCCTAAGGGACCGTATCGGCGCGCCGCCGCAAGCGAAAGTTCTTGTCTGGTGCACCGCCAACAAAAAATTGCTTCCAAGGGCGAACAACAATAGTCGCCGTATCATAATTACCAGAACAAAAGAAAAATCAGAAAAAACACACACATGAAAACAACCGAAAAGCAAACGCGCAAGGATTGTCTTACCCCTTCTCCCACGTAGCGGGAGGCCACGTCGTAAAACGGTATGGCGGAGTCTCGCGATGGGCAGAGCACCAGGGCGGTCGCCAGGGCGAGGCCCTGCTTCTCTAACAGCAGCTCCTCGGCCTTGGTGGCCAACTCGCGAACGGTCCAACTAGCCTTGATATAAACCTAGAGTAGTAGGTACGTGTGCAAGCGCGTACGGGGGCGAAGGAAGAGAGCGAGAGCACGCGAGTCAGCACGGAGTCAAGGTCAAGTAGAGCCGACAACGTCTTCCGCGGGGGGGCGGGCGCACTCACGCAGAAGGGGGCGGCAGAAAGCAACAAAGCAGAATGAGGATTCCTTGATTGCCGTTTTTCGTCCTGTCGGTGGTTTTATTCTCCCTGGCTACAGCAGTAGTATCTCGCTTGTGGTGGCTCCATGTGTTGGAATGATGATGACACAGGCCTGCAAGCCGCTACACAGCAACCCTTTTCCAACGGAAAACAGAAAGAGGACCACCGGCACGCCAAGTGCATCGGTAGAGGGCCAAAAAGGACCGAGGGCAAACAACACTGGAATGGGGCGCGAAACAGTGGTACTGGACACGCCAACAGAAATGCCGAAGCTGCAGCGTCTTCGGCAAACCACCGCGATGTTTGAGCGTTTTCCGTCATGGGCCCTCGTGATCGGACGCCAGAACGGAGATGGTCGGACAACAGAGCGGAGATTCACTCCAGTCAGTCTCGGAGATGAGCTGCAGCGCAAAACTGTTGTGCCGCAAACGTCGGTGTCGGAACCGTCTCATCGCGTCCTTTCCGAAAAATTTGTGTGGCATCCTCTTCGTCGTGGGAGTACCGTAGGTTGCACAAGAAATCACACCCCCTCGACCCGTTTTCGAAGCTCGATACATATCTCGGAAGTTACGGTCCCGAAAGATGGCGGGAGGCGTTGGAACCGTCTCGTCGAGAGCTTTCCAAATACCATGTCATTTGATATCAGAATCCTCTTCGTCGTGGAGGAATCCAGCTTTGAAAATCGGTCCAGGGGGTGTGTTATCTTGCATCCTACCGTGGGTATCCCGAGTTTTCAAATTCCTTTTTTGGGTGTGTGTGGTACACTACGCCACCTACGATAGGCACTTCGGGGGTAGCCTGACCCGCTATTTGCGGTTTTTTCGCGACGCAACAAGCAACGACAATGAAAATCGTATATATGGAGGAAGGAAGCACGCCACGAGCGGAGTTGCCTCCGGAGACAGAAATCTTATTATTATGCCCGATAGCGACCTCGCCGATGACCGTAAGATATTAAATTACAGTCGGGTTCTAGATGTGAAGTTTACTGCGGGTGCAGGGGAAGATATAACCAGCACCCGGTCGTTGCCCTACCAATGGTCTGGCAAACGTGGACAGTAAGCTAGAGTAGTGTAAATGACGTTGGGCGAACAGGGCTGCTGAAGTTTGCGCCGCTGTGTACATAACGCCGTCTATGCTCGTGCAACACACGCACGCGCGTGGTAAAAAGTATTTCTGTTGAAGTGTCTTCTAACAACGCCAGCTATTTATCTTGTAGCGCGAGAGGTTACAGCACCTTCGCGAACGCCGCATGAAATGGCAGAGTAAACTCGGCAGGTGGCATGCCGACGGCTAACCCGTACCAACTGCTGCTGCTGCTGCCCGTAGTTGGAGTCAAGCGGCGCAGCGCAAACTTCAGCAGCCCTGTTCGCCTAACGTCATTTACACTACTCTAGCTTACTGTCCACGTTTGCCAGACCATTGGTAGGGCAACGACCGGGTGCTGGTTATATCTTCCCTTGCACCCGCAGTAAACTTCACATCTAGAACCCGACTGTAATTTAATATCTTACGGTCATCGGCGAGGTCGCTATCGGGCACAAGAATAAGATTTCGAGTGCCGAGCTACTGTATGTACGGACTGACTTTTCTTCGATTCCGTCATCCTCCTTCCGCAGCAGTACCAGTGGTGCTGAACCTCCCTGGCCAACGACCTCTTTTACAGCAGAACACTAGTACGGCACAGCTAGTTACGCATAACTTCACCTGACCCAGATCATATGCACCACAGGTTTGCTATGCAAATGCATTTGCATGTGGACGTCACTGCCGAGAATACCAGTGCTGTGTTGATGCTGCTGCTGCTGCTGCCGCTGTTGTGTCCAAAAACCAACCGTGCCGTTATGTTCCAATAGCTTCTTCACGCTCAGCAAGCAACATGCCTAGCGGGGAAACGGTCTCTACGCCGCGCCCCTAGGGGATCGACAAGCACTCTTCCCATGCTGTTGCCAACCACTGGTCGGAGGAAGGAAGCAGCCGGCACACGCCCCCCAAGGCACGCGCCAGCAACGCTCGCTACACCACACCATAGCCAGCTGTTTTCGCTCGAGGAGGCCACTTCACCGGGGCAGGAAAAACACCACCCGTTTCGCTTGCCGCTGGGCAGAGAGGGCGGGTCATGGGATAAACAATCACCAGGGCAAACATCGCGCCTGCTCACTCACCCCGAGCCCTGCATCGCTGCCTACACCGGAAGCCTGGTCCCTGTCCTTCAACATCACGTCGTCGGCCCACTTGCAGCCCCTTCGGCTCAAGGAAACTCGCACCCGCCGTGAGTCCCCCGCATGCCCATCGCTGCCGCCCCCGACAACGTTCTTCTGCTCTACCTCCATGGATATCTAGCTACGACGGTCCTAAGGTGCTGATGCTGGGTGGGCGAGGCTCGTGGGCGCGAGGGCGAGGGAGCAGTGAAGTGTGAAGTGACTTTAGGTCCACATGCGGCGAGACAAGGACCAACAGACACATTGGGGTATTGGGGTACGTCACTCTTTGGAGGTGCATGGAAGGGGTACACCTTTTTTCGTATTTTCGATCTTCCAGCGCTACTTCGTGTGTACATATGCATATGTAGTAGAGGGAAGAGAGTGCTGCACTCTTCTCTTCTTGCATTAAAAGTCGAAGGCAAAGCACCGCAGGAGGGATGAGCAGGGGGGCTCAGGGAGAGGGGCCCTTCTGTGTGATCGCGGGTTGGAAAAAACGGCACGCAAATGCTTTGAGCGCTGATTTGAAGTGATGCAAAGTGATGGAAAAAAAAAAACTCCCCACGGCGGTCTGTTCGAAATTAAGGAACAATAAATACACACACAGAAAGACTACCCATTCGAGATACACCCACAGCAGTCGAACGGGATGTGGTGGAGTCTTTTCAGTGAGTGGAGGATAACCGAATATTACCCCGCGCATCGCAACCACCTCACTTTAACTTTCACGCACGGTTTGCTGGCACTCGCTCTCTCCAGGTAAGCTCGTCGGCTTGTACAATGTTTTACGCCTGAACTGCGCGTAGTGGGCAGGAGCACACTGCTGTCACAAACAATAGTGAACAAGATACGAAGCTTGGTTATTGTTGATCCTTACCCTGCGGTGTGGATCTCGTGTGTGTTTGGGTCGCGTCCTACCGTACATGGTCTAAATACGAGCCTACCGTCTAGGTGGCACCCTCGGTAAAATTGACTTTGGTCATTGCCACAGGTAGGTCATACACCGAAATGCCGGCGAGGAGTGTCGTTCTTCAGATGTCATGTTTTCGACAGCAGAGGTGTGCAGCCTGTAAGATATGGGCGATCTTACGCCGTCGTCGAACGCGATGGCTGATAACATACATGTTGTTCTACATGTCGCATGTCGGTGGTGACAACCGACTGGCATGGAGCACATGCCCAAACAATACCAAACACAAGTTTTACACGGACTGCGTGTGCCTGGCTTCTCGTGGATCCTGGCTATCCACGGATCATCACTTACAAGCTCAGATGACCACACACCCTGGATCGATGTTTCCAAGCTTGACTACACCACAGAAGAGGATGCCCAACCTCGTTTGCAACCTCGTTTGGTGCGTTTTCGGAAGGATCTCGACGAGACGGTTAAAACGCCGCCATTTTCGGAACAATCGAGCCCTGAAAAAAACGGTCCAGGGGGTGAGGTACTCTACCGTGTGTCACCTACGCGGTAGTGCAAGGTCACTTGTCTGGGCAGCACGCACCTGCCCACCAAGTAATCCTACAGATCTTGAGACAGCAGATATCGGAACCACGTTCACGACGTGGAGGATAATTTGTAGCCACGCTAATAGATTAATGCAGACTCGGTAATATTAACTGCTGTACAAAAGTTAAAAAAAAGGGGAGGGCCTCAGTAGCGCTCAAAGACAGTTGATATGAAAAGGCAGGAGCCGGAACTCAAACCTGAGAGCGAAAGCTACCAGCGACGACTACAACAGTCTGCATAGCCGAGGGTGAACGGCCAAACATGAGCCGAAGCGGGACTCGAATGCACAACATGACAAAAGCTGACAAAAGGAGCCAAATAGCACAACTGCTTGCTGGTCCACAATATGATGTTCGAATTCCCTGCAGCACACATGTGAAGTCAACAACAACAGGTCATCACACAGGAGACGCTTGTATCAAGGTTTCCTTGACAGTGAAAAGAGGTAATCGTCCTCGACAGGCGTCGAGGAGAGGGGGGGGGGGGCGCCCTCTTGTGTTTTGCATGCCTTGGCGGATAGACCATTGACCGCGCGTCCTCGAGAGGACGGAACATTGTTCCCACAGGACCGATCACCGATGGCCAATCGTTCCTTCCTACTTTGCCAAAGGTGGCTCAACAATGTCTTCCCTAGTCTATCTATCTTATCTGTTTGCACTCGTCGTCGCAATCACATTTGAACTTGTCGCCTTCATCGTCTACCTTCCGAAATCTTCTTCGTCGTTGAGAGGGTATTCCCTTTTCGAACGGGGTATCGAAATCATTCCCCCCTCTATACGGGTAACCAGAACCCGACCGGCTGGAGGCGGGTCGATTCCCTTCCTCGCAATATTCTGTGCGCAATTGCACGGGTTCGCTACGTGCACCACGTTACTTAAGGTCCCACACGTTCGAAAATCTTGGTCCTCCACCATTGCAGTTTCCATGTTGTGGAATACATATCACTGCAGGTGTGGGTGCTCTTGTGCCGAAAGCAGACATCTCATCACGACGGCAATGTGAAAAGAGGGATTCGTCCTCGACAGACGCCGGGGAGATTTTACCCGTTGTCGAGGGGATCTCCACATCCACCTATGTTTTCCTTCCATTTCTCGTTATTGGTGTGCACATCGGTTGCCCTTTGCACTTCTCCCGGACGCGTCCTCTTTGATAGATTCCAGGTGGTATCGACATCGGTGGCGACCCGTTTCACAGTCGGAGGAGCAGGTCGCGGATCAGGCACCCTCCCTCCGGGACCCCCCGTTCCCGATAGATACAATCTTCGCGGAAATAAGGAATCTTGGGGCTGCACTTGCTCGCAGAGCAACCACCAAGAGAGGCGGTCGCAGTTTTTCGTGGCGAGAAAAACAATCACATGAGCGGCCAATAAATAGACGTGCGACTTTGCGCCGGTGGCACCTCGCTGCCGTGTGCATCGGCGCGCAGCGAGGGCGTGACAATGAAGAGCGATGAGCTGGAAGACGTGGCACTGCTGTTCGGGGTGAAAGGACGATTTCGCAGAAACCCTCACGACGACGACGGCGGGGACCCTAGCACCGTGCCGGAAGAATCGCTGAAGAAGGAACCGACGCCACCAGCCCAAAAGAGGAAAGTCGTTGCGATGGGCATCACGCTGCTCGGGATGTGTTATATCGTGGCGCTCAGCTCGCGGGCTCTGTCCACGATCCACTACCGCCACGGCCACCAGAGCGGCAGCAGCAGCGGCGGCAGCAGCGGCGACGGCAGCAGCAGAGGCGGTCACCGCTCTCCCCTTTTCGGGAATGGCGAGTACCTCCGCGGCGTGGACCACCGCCGCCGAGCGCGCGGCGGCGAGGATATCATCGTGCCCGCGGCGGACGCCGCCGTCGTAGCATGGAGCGGAGGAGGAGGAGGAGCGATGGATGAGCCTACCGCGGCGGCAGCGCCAGCACCAGCTGGCAGCGGTGCGGGAGCTACAGACACAAGGCGGGCTGCTGGGGACCTGGACCGCGGCGGCGGCGGCGGCGGCGGCGGCGGCGGCGGTGGCGGCGGCGGCGTGAAAGGACCCCGGAAAAGCGCTGACGGCGGCGAGGCCAGGGCCCAGGCGGCGGGCGCGGGCGTTGGCGGCGGCAGGGAAGCCGGAGGACGCGAAGGAAAATATGAAGGAGCGCCACGGGCGGCCTTACCCAACCAAGGGCAGAGCGAAGGTGCGGGAACAGGTCTGTTCGGTTAGGTGCAGTGGACGCGCGTTCAGAGCCGGCAAGGAGGATTTCTGTGTGTGGCGCTGCGAAAGACGAGCGAATGGTTCAACAACACGACGCGCAGTGCGTCGGAATTTCGTCATTCCTCCCCGTCGTGATTCGGAAACCCGACACGTTTGAAGCACATCATGTAGAGAAGGGATCGAATCACGTTGGCAAGTCCGGTCTTGTTCTAATCAGGGAATTCCACGATCATGAGGACCAGCGCCATCTTGCAGTGCCACTGAAGGCAATTTGAACACCCACTTCTTTGTACGTATGGCCGCATCCCTTCCCTCTCGCGCTGGAACCCGTGATGCCGGACATAAACAACATAAACCTCAATTCCAGCACTTAAGCACCAATCACGCCTGGAATGAAGGCATCAGAAATGTCTGCGAGCGCCCCGTGGGCGCCTTCATTGTGGCTCAAGAACGCCCCGGGGCAAAAATCAAAGGGTGGAACCTGCACGTAGAAATGAATCACGTGTTCAGTTCTTGGCTCGCAGGAAGCTGTGTTTCAGCGGCTTGCGGTGGTTTTGCGCGCCACGTGTGGCTGACCAATGAAAGCTGATCCTCCCCCCGCTCCACCTAACGAACAGAAGGCGACAAGGGGGTGAACATCGACTCCGGGACACGGTCCGAGCACTTCGGCGGCGTGCAGCGGCGGCACCAGCAGCGGCTGACGCGCCGCGCGGCAGAGCTCCGGGACGAAGGGCCAGCGCTGCCCGGTTCGGCGTGGGCACACGTTGGGAGACTTGCGAAGGGGGTTTTCTCGAGAGGGGGAAGCCGGGTACCGCCTCCCCCCGGTACGATTGCGGGCGCGGGGCCCCTGCCGACGGACGTTGGCGCTGCTTCGGTGGAAGAGCGGGTGCATCGCATGGAGGAAGGCGTTCGCCTCTGGGGCGCTACGTTCGTGCCGCCGGTGGAGCCAACCCGGAGGCTGGAGCTCATCGACAAGTGGTCCGGCAACGCGGGGCGAGGAAGAACCAACACCAGCAGTAGCCAAGAGGTGAGTTCGTTCGACTACAGGTCGTAGAATTGCGGTGCGTGTGGCGTCATGATGCGTCGCTCTCGGGCGGCCGGGACGCGTCGCTGACGCCTGTGGGATTGTTTGACGCCCGGGAGTGCTAAGGCGACAGGCGGGCAACACCTGATGATGTGCGATTGAAGCCGGGCGTATGCGACAATGAAGGGGGGGGGAGGTCTCAGCGATCCTTGTCCACGCGGCACTCTTGGTTAGTTTTGTAGTGGGACAAGTTGCGGTCTAAGCGTCGACCTTCTTCACGAAGACCGAGTAATTTGTGGGGGTCTCAGTGTCCCCTGGAGGAACGGTGCCCGGGGAACGACGCTCGGTTTCACAAGTAATATGTTACCCTGGGGGTCAATTGATCAAAACATGCGGTTTTGGTTTTAGGAGTGCGACCTTCCGCTATAGCCAGATGGTTGTGGTTCACGTCCAACCACCTACCCCCCTCCCCCACACAGACAGTGGGTAGAGATCGAAGTGACTACGAACGCAGTGGCAGCAAAGAGAACAAATACAGGAACAAGAAGCAAGCAACTCCAACCAGTCCTGCAACCGTTGTTCATAAGTCAACTAGAAACGCCGCTGAACGCCCCCCCCCCCCCTTCACTCCCGTGCCACACCAAGGGAGGGGGCGACGCAGACGAGAATACACGTGGCGATGATGCCGGGCGGATTCTGTTCGTAATGACGTCCTTCGATCGCGGGAGAAGGCTCGGTCCGTCCTTCAAGAAAGACAAACTCGATTTCATCCTGTTGATGATGGATGAGATTAGGGAGGCTTGCGAGGTAAGCAGACAGCCCTCCTTGTCAGAAATTGAGAATGCGGGGAAAAGAAAAATATTCGTATTGGGTTAGTAAGGGTAGCTTGTTTCGCTTCCGCGCGTCGACATTCCCGAGGACCGTGTGTCTGCCGTAGGCGAACGCAAACCTTGCGGCCTAGATCTGCACTGCTATTCCCTTGGTAGTCGGCGGTTCCCAGCTTAAGCACACCGGCTCCTAACAGCATCTCGGAGTCCCCTATGGATAAAGCTCTGCATGAGAGACGTTGACAGGCTTACGTCATGCCACGGGTTGCTGTCCAGCCTAAGCGTTGATTGATTTGTGCGCTCGCTGTGCCTTTTACTCCCGATCGCCGCGTGCAATCTCACCGCATCTCCCCGCAACCAGGCCGGGTTTTCCCCGACCGTGCATCTGATAGCGGCGTGGGAACTCTCCGGGGTGGAAGTGTTTGTGCGGGACCGTCTGTTCTGCCGCAGGACGGGCGCCCACGTCCCCTACTCTCTAGAGGTACACCCTTCTTCAATCGGCAACGACCTGTCCATCAAGGTGAGAGTCGACATGCAGCCAGCCATACATGACAATATTTTGCACGTCGAAGAGGATTTTTTCAGGGCGGGGACTTTGGCGTCGACATGGGCACGACGATCTGGACGTTCGCGTTCCAGCACTGTCCGTGTCCGGCCGATTGTTCCCGTCCAATCCAGGCCGCCGATTGGAGACATGGCCGATGGATCGATCGTGGAAAGCAGACAGTGTCTGGCTAGGACACTGGGACATGACGTTTTCGAAAACTTTTGGTTCGTCCGAGGAGCGCCGGATAGACGATGTCGTGCGACTCGAAATGTTGCCACGCTGTTCGCCCCCCCCCTCTCCCCCGGTCCTTGTCACGGTCTGCCGGGTGCTATTAGGGAGTCTTCTGCCTCATTTCACTTCTAAGCTCTACAACTCCGGTGCGGACGTCATACAGAATTCAGGACCAGACGCTGATTCCCGCTGCTGATGCCGTTTTGTCTCTTTACAGCACCGCATCTTCATGAAACCGCGGCTGGAGGAATTTGACCTGTTCATCCAGGTAAGCTGGAAGGGTAAGCTAGAAGAGAGTTTGCAGCACTTTCCGGCTCGAGAAGGACACCGTTCAGTGTGGCCGCGTTCTAACCGTTGCGACCGGATCATGCTCCGAACATACAAGCCCAGCCTACTTGGGCTCTCTACCAAACCTTTGGACCGTTTTTTGGAACCTGGAAATCTTCTGAGAACAAGGAATTTCTGCAATAGTGTTCGGATGAACCCCACCGCTACAGTAGGAGGGAGTGGTGGCAGAATCCGTTCGGTGGGCACGACGCATGTGTGGGAACTTTTCAGCAGTTGGACAGGCTCCTTTGGCGGCCTGGGGAGAGGTGCGGGTCGCCTACATTTCCACTCGAGTTCGGTTCGTCGGGCGGCGCAGGTCGAAGATGACGTCATCGTGACCCTGAACCACATGCTGCTTTTCCGGGAAGAGAGCGAGCTGCTCGACGGTCGCAGGCACTCGGACGGAGCCCCGCTGGCGAACACCGCCGTCCCGGGCTTCATCCGCGTGGAGCATGCCGCGGAGGAGGAAGGGACTATCGCCGGGCCTTCGTCGGGAGAGGAATGGCAAGAGTGGGAAGTGATGCTCAGCAGGTAAATTGGTGTGATCTCACACAAAAGCAAGGATTACAGCTCTCATTGTAGTTGCACGAGCAATCGCTCGTTCCTGCTCCAAGTCATGTGGTACTCTTTTCTAATCCTGAAGCAAGATTTCACAGAGCCAGATTCACCGTGTACAAGGATGGCTGCTTGAACTTACCGTAGCGAACACGGCGTCGTCGATGTCATCTAGAGAAGCACATTCTTCCTCGAATTAAATTGCCAAACAAACATTGTGTGTCCCACACAAGATTGTAACTCCGTCGTCAGCATGTTGGGCGTCCCGGCTCACGCTCAAGCACCCCAAAATTCGAACCTAGCGTAGAAAACCGCTTTCGAAGTACGAAGTAGGAGGCGATCCAGTCTCGGCGAGGGGTATTCAGGAAGGGATAGACAGCATGAATACGACGCGAACGAGGCACAACCGTCGTTCACTTTGTTTCTTCTCATCTACTGTATATGGACCCTTTTTCTTGGATTCCTTGGGTATGAATGGTGTTTTCACAAGGCTTCGTCCGGTCAAGCTTGAGGAGGCCGGTATTTTCCTTACTCTCGGGCCGTCGCTCCCGGTCCCTCGGGGGGGGAACAATCAGGTATGTTGTTTTCCCGTGGACCATGATCTTGGTGTTGCCAGTCGCTGAGTATGTGTTTCCTTACGCAGTGCGGAAAACCTCGTAAGCGAACTATACGAGCAGCAAGGTGGGGTTGGAAATTCTCTCCGGAGCGTACCGTTGCAGGATCCTTCAAGAAAATTCATTCTGATGCCAAAAAACATTTCTGATTATGGTGGCATGATAATGTGAATGTGTACCTTAATGATATGTACTTGCTTCCGAAAACACCACTGCGTCTAGGAGGCATGATGATGTCGATACTTGTGTCGCTCTTGCCCGGGGATATTTGCAATTTTTTTTGATATTCGCTTTTTTTGCCGATGGCCGTGAAACCGGGTGTGTGTAGCTTGAACTATGTGACCGTGCCATGCCTCCATTTCGATAACGTGTTTCACGCACGGTTATGGCATGAACAAGGTTGGGAGGCGCAGCTCAGTCGCTTCGAGATCTGAGCTTGTCATACTCCTTTGGCGCTGTTCGTTTCGATTCACGCATGATCGTTTCTCGTCTCGCCGTCCTCAAAATCGTTCCCAACTGCTCGTCTCTTGTCTGGTTGGATCTGGATCTGGCTCTGGCTCCGTCTATACCTCTGTCTCTGTCTCTCTCTCTGTCTCTCTCTCTCTGTCTCTCTCTCGCTCCCCCCACCCCGCTCACCCCTCTTTCTCCCTCTCCCTCTCTCTTCTTCGAATTGACACCAGGGTATGTGGATGGCGACCAGGGAGCAGCTGAGGAAGCTCAGCGAGAAAAAGTCATGTGATTACCTCAACTTCGACGAGTCGTCGACCAAGGGACACGTGGAGACCCACAGCGGCAGCCTTCAGATGTTCAGGCCCAACTGCGGTTTGCAAAAAGTGGGCCGACCGTTGTGCCATGTTGGTGTTGGGATGTCTTCGGTACCGAATCTTGGCAGTGTCGACGAATGAATATGAACGGAACGCTTGTGCGCATCTCCCCATATAAGGTTCTCCTTGCTACGTGGCGGAGCACATACAAGCTTTGTGGCCTCTCATTCAGCAGCATCATGTGGTTTCGGCGTGCCAAAACCGCGTGAAACTCCTTGTCTCCCCCTCACAGGTTTTCCCAGCAAGTCGATTCGAAAGCTTCTTGGTCCATCACCGCGCGAACAACAAGCACGGGGTTAGAGGAGAGAGCGTGCCCGGTGTCCCGATAAGCCTTCTCCGAAGCTGGGTGGAGCAGTTCATCCGGGACGAGAAGTTCTTGAAGCCTTTCCGGAACCCATCAATGGACAGCCGCCGAGTATGAAAGATGTTCGGTCCAATTCGGGGATTGTCCTCAATCAAGGGCATTTCGTTGTCCCTTCCAGAACGATGTTGTACCGGAGTGAAGTAAAATTGAGTCTGAGACTATCGTTCGGGACAACGTAGTGCCGGTACTCGGCATTCAACATGATCGTGATTCACTCGCTGAGGAACATTGGTGTATGTGTACGGTAGTGCTCTGAAATTGGTCGGGTGTCTGAATCTTGGAAAAAAGCATATGCATGCAACAAGGGGCGGGGGTACAGCAGGCGGACGAGACGGCGAGGAAAGACAGGAAAGGCGCAGAGGCGGACCGAGTGGCGCGAAATACTCTGCCGAATTGAACCCCTTGCTTGGCATATCCTCCCCCCGGCGCTGCATCATTGCACCAACCACCCGTGAGCGATGACGTGCATTTGCTGGCTCGGGTGGCCCGCTTTGTGTTGTGATGTATTGTGTTGTCTTGTATTGTTCTGTTTGTTTGTTTGTTGTTAGTCGGTACGGCGTGTGTCTTTCTCTGTCTGTGTATTTTTTGCGTGTATTTCACCTTCTCCTTTCCTTCGCTCCATCTGCTCTCTTCTTGTTCTTTTTACTCTTCTCTGTCTTTCTCCATCTTTTTCTACGATATTTGTTTCTTTTTCCAATCTAGGGTTACCTCGTATAGCGTGTAGAAGCGAGCGGAGTGGCCTAAACTATCTGTCGTTGACTTCTATTGGTTTGCGGACCCTTCGGATCCTTATTATTGTCGTATACATTTTCTTGGGTAATTTAGCCTGTGACCACGGGAATCGACCCCGTCAAGAGTTAGACGTTAAACTACTGTAGAACGGACATAAGAAGGTACAGAGAGAACGGAACGGGTTTTAATGTGAAGACGACAACAACATACAAGGCAGCGCTCCCCAAAGTGAAGCATTCAGGAGGTCTATCGACGTTCGTCTAAGGAATTCGAAGCCACATCAACCTGCTCCCTCTCTCAGGGTTTGGCGGACGTCGTCGGTCGAAAGCACAGGTGTGGACGGAGTGAAATTTGATGAGGATGATGATTATGGGTCATCGAAAGCGGGAGCTACCTGGCTTTATTTCGTAATATTTTCGCGTGCCCCATATTTGCCCGGAAAGCAGTAGCCTGTCGGGTTCAAAGGGCACCACAACAACAGGAGGCGCGTATGTCGCAGGGGGTCGGGGGAATAGTGAGTATCACGGCATAAGAGGTGCTGCTGCTTTTGTCTTGATTTTACGGGTAATGACCGCAGTCGCGTGAAACACGGGTTGAATGAAATGCACAGTTTTACCACTTTTTGGACTACCGAAACTGGTGTCGTTGCACATTTGCCTTACGCAATCGCCATTCGTGGCATCTTCTTTGTTAGGCCGTGTCGTGGTAACGCAAGGCATGCTGCGTTCATGCACAGAATATGGCTGCCGATATCAAAAAGAAATTCCGATTCGATACAAAAATAGAGTGAATCTGTTTCCTACCTTTAGCAATTCTAATGTGTTCGTCTGTTCGTCGCACTCAGAACGCACCGCCACTCATGAACCTCGGAGTTGATAACTCCAGGTTCCAAGACGGAACTTGGCCATGAGACGAGTTGCTCGTCAAGCACCCACTACTACCACGCACCACGTGGAATAGTAGAAGTTGGGATACCCAACCGAGGAAACAAGAAACGACCCTGGGACCAAATACAACAGATGCTTGAGTCGTGACGTCTTCTTCACTCATGTGGCGCCGACAAATTGCGGGTAGACCGCGCAGGTGGTTGTCTCTGTTGGTAGTTCTGGCTACCTCCGTTGGCAGGCATGTGCTATGGGAGGGTCTCAAGACATCGCGAGGGTTCGTAGCTGATGGCCCGAAGACCATTTTGGGGCTACAGATCCGTAACATGCGTGGTGGAAAATTGAACTTGCACTGGTGTTGTTGCGTAAGCTTGCCGTAGCGCGCAGATCCCCACGGAACGTTACGATTTCCCGTCTGAGTACCTGATGAGAGATCAAAACACCAAAGTCTGCCATGCGAGGAGAGCGATTGAAGGCTACATGACGAGCTGTACACCGATGAGGACTTGCACCGGTGCCCCAACACAGCACTTGTGAGAACGTGGCGTCGTCCTTTCGACGGGTAGCGGGGGACAAGGTTGGTGGCCATGGCTGTGATGTATCGCTTCGTGAGATGAGGGCTGTTGCACAGGTGCAATCGTCGGCGGTCAAGGTTTGCGTCCCTGACAGCGGATGCCGTGGCGTGGCAACTTTTTCGCCATCATCAGACTGCCCTGTACAAGTTCGATCAGCCTCGCTGTCGACGCCGAACGCTCAAGCCTAAACATGCGGTGCGGGCAGCCCCCGGCGGTTGAGTGCTTCACATGGCAGTTGCCTCCTCATCGTGTCATCATTCCCTCCCCATTCTCTACATACCTTGGGCGGAAAAACTCATAGCACATCACCAAACACGGCCTGTCCAAACCAAAACCGGTTGTGATTCGAGTCCGACCCCCTTCCCAACCCAAAAAGTGTTCGCAGGAGGCATTCACAGGAGGTGTTCGCCGACACCAACACATCGACATCCTCCTCGAGCGAACCCGGAGGAAAACAAACATTCTACACCGCACCACCACCTTCAACGCCCCCACCCAAGACATTATATCGCCCGCGCCTGCGACCGCCATCTCTCATACTTCGAAGTATGTGTATAACTCAGGTGACCGCAAGCAGCCCACACGACCCGCCCCGCCCCAGACACGAGCCGCTTGTATGTGGAGTGGGTCACACAGCGGACAAGACGTCACCGCGGCAGAATATGCTCTAGAACGCGTGCTTCGAATGCCTCGCGGCGCTGCTGTAGGGTGACCCCATCCTGGATCAATGGCGAGATGCGCTGGACCATCTCACATCCACGCACAGCCCACCACAGGCACATCACGCGAGACGAAGACTAGCTGCTTCTTCAAGCTACTGAATACACAAACACGCCAGATTTTTCGAGACGACTCGAGTTTTCGCCTTGGCCAATGATGACGCTTTCTTCTTTGGTGATGGCCTTGATCCTCCGCCGTAGCCCCTTCCTTCCTTCCTTCCTTCCTTCCTTCCTTTCTGCTGCCGAGGCTGAAGACCGATGAGGTGTTTGCTCGTGCCGCAGGCGTTACCTACACGCAGAGACACAGCGGCGAACCTTGTAAGATAAAACATCATACCTCCAGCAGTAAATAGCAGCAAAGAATGGGGCGTCGTCAATGTCGTAGCCAACACCGACGACCTCGAGCCATGCCCTGCTCTGCACCGTCTGCCCTGCTCTGTACGACCCCAACGTCTTGCTCTCCATTGGCGTTCTACTACAATACCTTCATGGGGAACAGCATCGCGCGTGCACCAGAGCACAGCCCGCTTGCTGCATCGCAACTCACAGACGGCTACATGCGCATGGACAAATGACAACCTTACCAGCCTATACGGTGAAGAAGCCCACGGTTGCCTCGTCCCTTCGAACAACAGCAGCCCAAAAGCAAACAACAAAAAAATATTTATTTCTCATATTCACTGCTAAGACTGCAGCACATCTCCTTCGACCGTGGTTCCGTGACTGCCCCTCCTCCTTTGGTTCCATCTCGAAAGGGTAGACTTTCTGTGACTGTAGGCACATCCAAACAAATAAAAACACATGCACAAGCAGAAGTACAAGCAGAAGCAGAAGCAAAAGAAGGTACCTTTTGACCTTGTTCCATCCATCCGAGTCCATCGCCATCCCCCCGCCGCCGCGCCCCCTCCCCGCGCTGGCACCGCCTCCCGACTTGCCGCCTTTGCCACCCCCCGCCGCTTTCTTCGCCGCCATGCGCTGGCCTTGCTTTCTACTCGCCGAGGTGCGCGTGATGAAAATTCGGGGTTGGACGAGCGAAAAGAGGTGGGGAAACATTCGACTGCGACTTCATGAAGGGGCTTGCACGTGAGTCAGAGGAAGATGAAGAGGGGAGAATTCGCGTATGCGACAGAAGATGACACATCCACGCAAGATTGCATCCCGCCACACACACGCGGGGGTAGCGACAGTTAAGGGTAAACGATGAGCGTGTTGATTCGTGGTAAACGAAACGACACATTTTCGGAGAATCGAACGCCAAAGGGCGTCGTCGTCTTGTTTTAAGGGCTGTCAAGGCCACCCCAAGGAGATACAACGCAATTTTTCACCGAGTCAGCGCAGAGTCAGGTCTGCCCCTTCGCGATGTTCGCAACCGAGCATGCCGTGAAAGGGCTCCTAGTCGCACATTCCCGAGAGAGTGACTTCAAAGCTCCACTGCTCCGCAGCCAAGAGCACAAGAACGCCAACCGAAAAGTGTTCATGATGGAATATTTCCAAAGCAACCCGTTTTCGACAATAGCGGCCTCTTGGACGCGTGGAGATATACATCGAGCTGTGAAAGTCAGTCTAGCGGGCGTGCGCTCACTCGCTCTCCTGCGAGGCGGCAAAGAAGAAAAAGAGCAATGCTCCCGAACGGCGACTCCAGCGCATGGGTGTGAAACCTGTCTACACGCGGCTCAAGGGCACAACATTCACTTCCCCGCTAATACACATGAGGGCTTCGGCCACCAGAACCAACTAACCTTGCGGACGACAAAATTTTACTCCGCAGGGCGGCCGCGAACGGTACATTTCACGCCACGAACGGAATACACTTCATTCCACACACCCAAGAAGAGGACGAACATCAATCAACATCGGGTCTTGAGGAGGTGCGATCACTCTCACTCTTGCGGTAGGCCATAACGAGGACAAATAACACTGATATTCTGAAGGTGATTCCAGCTCCTGGGTGAAACCTGCGTACAAACCGCTCAAGGTTACACTACATTCACTTCAACCACAGCATAAAACTTCAACACATGAAAAATTCACTTCACGACTCGGCGCAGCGGGAATGTCTCGTTCCACAGATGGCATCCGTTTCATTCCGCACGCCAAACAAGTTTCAATCCCACTAAGGACGTATCGGGTCTAGTGGTGCGATTACTCCCACTCTTAAGGGACAGTCATCCCTCCGTTAAGGACGTTATTGATAAAGAAATCCCCACGAGTAACGGCATCCTTTGTTTCACGGGCATGGTGGCTCGCAGAATGTACAACATACGGAGGGGTGTCAACCTTGAGGACACCCCCCCGGCTTAAGGACACCTCATTAAACGAAAAACCATTTGTGTGTCCTTAGCCGAGGGACGACTGTACGGCAAATATACCACAGCAAGCGATCTTCTCTGACGACGGCGTCAATTGCCTTCTGGGTGTGACAGCCGACGTTCGCTTCGCAAGACTAGAAGGCTTCAAGGCCAGGACAAACCATCTCCATTTCGCGGGAAACCATTCATTCCACATGGGATACTGCTCACTTCACATGGTGCAGGAAATGAAATATTTCATTCCACACACGAAAGATGATACATTCCAGGCTCAACGTCGCTCTACACAAGTGACGCGTTTCATGCTACAAGCGATTACAGCACGCACGGAAGACTGGTGGTACTACGCATCCAAAAACAATTAACTCCCCCAAAAAAGGAATAACCCTCTCATTCAAGAACATCACCACCCGTCTGAGTATTTCTCTACGGACTAGATACTTAATTTCAACCAGAAAAACCACGCACCAATGTGTTCCGCAAACAAGTGCCGGTTCAATCCACACTAAAGACGTTTCAATTCCATGAACAACGAATCGCGGCTGTTCATTCAGCCCCCTGCACATTTCTAAAAATTGACAAAAAAAAAAACGAGAGACTTGGCGATACATCGCAGGCGATGCCCGCGCAGCAGCGGCAACGCTGGTTACGGACCGCCTTCGCGAGAAAATAAGTTTAACGCGGAAACAAGGCCTGTCCCTAAACCCAAACCCAGCCCAACTTCCCCGACCACATGCTCTATCCAACTTGCTCACTAAAAGCGACAAACCCTGCGGAGGCGTTTGGCGTCTTGCGTACCTGACTTCCGCCAGGCGGGCCTCGAGCTCCTCGTCCTCCTCGAACCAGCCGCGAGAGTCGTTCTCCAGAACGGTCGCCCGCTCCAGGAGCTCCTCCTTGAGACCCACCTGCTTCACCTCGTCTATCGTCAGCAGCCTTCCGCGCGTATTCTAAAAAATAAAAAATGAAGATGAGCGCCGGAAGAACCAAAAGACGGGGAGCGTCACGCATGAGGGCGGGTGTTCGAAATGGGAGGGTGTACACGGAAAAAATAGCGTCGAAATGTTCCCGGTTAGCTGGTAAGTTGACAAGAGATAATGGTGGTGGGGGGTGGTATAAAATAAACGGTTTGCCTGCTGATCGAGGGTGTTGCCATCGTTCGAGACCTCTTGGTTTCGTGTGGTCGACAGGGGAAGGTAACACATCGGGTCCGCTAAGAATTCGAGGCTCACATTTTCACAACGAAAGAAAAAATATGCTCAACAAGTACACAACCTCACGGGTGGGTCATGCCCTAAACCCTAAATGTTCACCTTTGTTCGTAGGATAGCCCCAAGTTATGATGGCGATACACTTGTTTGCGGTTCATCGTCAAAAACAGAAAACTGCCGGGTGCGACGAGCTCCGCGGAAAGGAGTTCCGGACTCCCGCGCGGAACACTTTGACTGACAGTTGTTGTGTTGTTGCCTTCAAAAACTAAACCGTTCCGAGCTCTCTACCCAGTACCTTCATCTGTCCGTACTAGTCCAACACTTGGCGCGGTCGATTCCAATGGTCACAGGCTATCTCACCGAGAAAAAGGTATACTGACATAAAACAGGACCCGAAGTCCGTAAGTCAATAAAAATCAACATATAACGGTGGCGACGAAAGAAGAGGCAAACAAGAAACTGACCCCGGAACCCGAATTCAACAATCGTTCATAGCGGGCCCGTTCTACATGGGTCAAGCGCGGGACCGTTGTCCCTGACGCCTAGAGAGGATTCCAAATTGCTGAGAAGGACACCACACTCCCTCGCAACATACACACACCCCGGGTACGGCACCGAAACCAGGAGAAACGCACACCCGACCAAAAAAAAGAGAGCACAATGAGAAAACGCATACCACCGCAAACGTCGACACACCACCAATGGTTCTTGCGTGGTTCGAGAGCCAAAGCGATCGGCCCGCGCCATACACACGGCGGGCGGGACCTGCAGCGAGCCAGGAGGACACGCTGAGAAACGCACAGCGGGCAGCAACCAAGGGCACCAAAACAAAAAAAACTCAAACCACCACACACGTCGACACGGCAACAAAACCTATTTCGCGGCTCCAAACAAAAAACACGCAATCGGCCGCATCACCCACACCCGGGGTACCCGCAGCAAGCAAGGACACACACCATGAAACGCCACGAATAACGCCCCGAGCCGAATCGGGATGCGGACGATACACCATGAACCGTTCAGGACGCACTGGTGCTGATAGTTTGTTGGGATGTGCAGACCGTGCGGTGTTGGGGCATGCGCCGAAGGCTCGGTTCTCGACAAGCCCCCGCTTGCGCCAACAACCCACCCGGATGCATGCGTCACACGCACACGCCAACAAAAAAACGAAAACGCGAGAGGACGAACTCCATTCCACCATCCATCCTGCACGTGTCTCGGGCGTCACCCCCGCTCACCTCTAGTTTTTCTATCTTGATCAGCTTGGCCGTGATGCCGCGTAGCTCGTCCTGATGCTTGACCTTGTGCGACACGGGCGCGTGGCCGTTGACCATACTCCGCCTGCCGGTGGTACCGACATGCAATTATTCAATTGTTGCAGAAAGTAGGGAAAGGGTGTTGACCATGTTCCGCCAAATAGCGGTATCGACATGCAATGGGGAGGAGACGGGAGCACCTCGGAACAGCGGTGCAGAAATTGATTCAAAAGGGACGGAAAAAAAACAGCGACGAGAGGAAAGTAGAGGGCGGGGGGGGGGCTCCGCAGAATCATGGAAGTACAAGCGCGACCTAAAACCACACCGTGCCTGACAACAAAGAAAAAACACAAGAGCTGGGGCACGATTGGGTGGAGGGGCACCACAAGCAACGACAAAAGTCGAAACCACTAGTTGGGAAAGGGTTGGCCAACAGCAGTACCGACGAGAAAGTGGCGGGAAAAAAATGCTTACGCTCGAGGGGTGAGAAAAAAGGGGTCGCTAGCCACGCTAAAAAATAACGTCCCAAAGTCAACACCAAGACCAAGGTGAACAGAACACACGACGCCTTAATCCTTCCCGTACCGCGATGCCTTCCAAACACGGCTCTCGGAACACATTAGAGAAACAATGAAAAAAAAATGTGTCACAGAGGAGTGCAGAAAACATCGAACAACGAGAAAAAAAAACGCAAAAACAAAAAGTGGTGACAGAATGAACGGGGCTAAGACAACCGATACCACCACAAAAAAACAGCGGCAACACAGCAGCGGCGACAACGCGAATCGACAACAGAACCACACGTGCACACCTACTGCTGTTCCTACCTCTTCATGAGCTGCTCCGCCTGCTTGTGTATCCTGGCCAGCTTGACCTCGTTCTCTTTGAGGGTGGCAGCCTCCTGCTCGACGGAACAGTTCTCGAGCTTCGTTTGAATCTGTCCAGGCGAAAAGGACGCACAAAGCAGATGCCAACACATCGAGTTTGACTACGAGAAAAAAAAAAAAATACAGTGTACACCAAAACATCCCTAACGGAACAGTTCTCGAGTGTCGTTTAAATCTGTCCAGGCGAAAAGGACGCACAAAACAGATGCCAACACATCGAGTTTGACTACGAGAAAAAAAAAAAAAAATACCGTGTACACCAAAATATCCCTAACGGAACAGTTCTCGAGTGTCGTTTAAATCTGTCCAGGTGCAAAGGACGCATGCGATACATCGAGTTGGCTGTGGTTTGTAGGGGGGAAAAGCAACCACTATGTACACCAAAGTGTCCTCAACAGAACAGTTCTCAAGTCCCGTTTGAATCTATTCGAACACATCGAGTTAGAAAGGGGATTTGTGGGCCCGCCGGGTTTTTGACCAATCAGCTAACTGCGGGCCACAAATCCCGACGATGGTTGATGTAGATTTAAAAAAGCAACCGTGTACATCAAAACGTCCTCGATGGACGGTTTCTCGGGGTTCGTCTACATCCGTGCAGGCGGACAACACGCATGGAAAAAAACACCAAAATGGTGGCTTTTGTACATCAACAAAATGCAAGGGTGTGTAGGCCGAAACGCCCAATACACGGAGTGGTTTCAAGAATATCACTCGGTGATGTTGCTGAGCTTGGCTCTCGGCACAACACGTCGCTACAAGCGCCTGTAGTACCGTGTATAGTGCCGGTATGTGTCCAGAGATTTTATCGGCACTATACCCGACACCGGTACTAGTCAGAGTACAGAACGACTTGGTATTTCAGTGTGTGCAAGCCGAGAACATCGGCATTATGCCGGGCAACAGGCACATTTCAACGGCACAATACAGGGCCCAGTTTTAACCCTAGAAACAAACATGCAGGCGAGTGCCAAAGTACGGTGGGATTTGGGGGCTCGAACCTCTGCGCCAGTATTCACGGAGCCCCCCGGCCCTTTCAACGATTGATCACACTCCTGACAAGGGTAAACCTTTCATCTCCCTCCTCGCCATATCTGGTGGATTGTGTCTCAAGTAGCGCTTCAAGGTGGATCTCGGCACCCGACAAAACCCCCGACAAGGAAAAAGTGTTTCAATATCGCCTCGGAGTTTATCAAGACAAGTTCGCCGTCCTCCGACTGCGCCAAAAATTCCACGTTCTTAGTCCCTTGATTGGTCTTAAACGCCGCATTCCCAGGAAAAAAAAAAAAAACGGCCTTCGATAAGGTTACCCAAAAGGTGTTAATGAAGTACATCACTCGTGCTCGAAAGAGATTCTCAACGGGTGTGCTGGGATCAACAACAGCAGCGGGAGCAACACCAACAACGACAACCACCAGTGGGGAGCTACTGTAGGAGGCACCTACCTGCGACACGACTTGCTGCAGCAAGAGGAGTGAAAGCTACATGACAGGACTATGTTAGCAACAAGAGTAACAGCTATTGGACATAGTACTACTGTTAGCAAGAAGAGCGGCAGCTATAGGACATAGGACTTTTGGCACCAGTATACCTGCGATAAAACTTGCTCGCGCTCGGCCGCGGTAAGCTGTCCGTTCTCCACCATCGCCTTCACCTGAAAATCTCACCAAGAGACAACGCATAGGAAAACATGACAAGAAGAAAAAAACTTCCACATATCCCCGTCGACTATGGTATTATCTGGAACGGGTCTTCGTCTCTCATTGTAAGTACGACTCAAAATAGTTTTTTTTTTCTTTGAGGTTCCTCGCTGGGCTCTTCGCGTCAAAAACTCGTCAGCTGTGTGAGCTGTTCGAGCTTCGGAAACGTCACTGATGGCAGCAGCCAGCCGATTCACACCAGCACATGCCACACTTTCATCGTGCATCTCGCCTTGATGACACCGCTGCCATGGTCTGATGAGCCACTCCGGAGGTGCGCCTCGTACGTTTTCTAAAACCAAGCAGGCGTGCGTACGACCAGACCGACCCAACACTACCGCGGTCTTTTATTGTTTTGAGTGGATGTAATGCTAACCCGGAAGGCTTGAGTCTGGCTTTAGCCAACCTCCGTTCCACATTTACGCCGCCGTCTGCTATCCCCAAAATAGTGCTACAGAGGACGTTACCACAGCAGCAGCAACAACAACAACAACTTCTACTGCTTCAGCAACAGCAATACCAACAAACAACCAATACCAACACCAACCGCAACAGCAACAAACAACAACAACAACAACAACAAACAACACACCGTCTTCCCTTACCAGGGAAGTAAGCCACACGGTCTTCTCCTCCACGCCATCCGGGTCAATGCTGTCGTAGATCTCCTGTTCCTCGTCCGAAAGACCTTCCATCTTCATCAGCTTTTGCTCCGCCTCTTTATATCTGGAAAGCGCCCGCCCGGTTGTGACATCGGAGAAACAATCCAAAGCAACAATTATTTGGTGCAGGAGGAACAGCTAGAACTGCCGTTCGCACAGCGCACGTGCCAGCTTTGTATTCTGGTACATTTTTCGTAACTGTTTCTCTTGCTGTCTGTTTCAATAAAAACCGTGGCCGCAAGTGTTTCTTTTTTCGTTAAAGATGGCGACCGCAAATATTTCCATCTCTAGTTTTTTCATGAAAGTCCGGGAAGAGCACCATTTCAACGAAAACTTTGCTCGTTGTGTTTGAAGGTTTAGGTGGTGGCCACACACAATTCTTTATGCGTTCGTTTGTATTTTTTACGGCCGTGACCGTGATCGCGAGCCGTGTACTAATCAAGCAGCCAGACGTCCGGCAAGGGCCATCGTGACGGCGATGGAACAGAAATAGAAAGCGCAGGTCCGCCCCAAGGACAGCAGCAAAACAGAAACAAGATTGATGTAGCTCAGGAACAACGGCAAAAGGAAACACAGTCGCGAACATGACACTGTCAACGGAAGCATCGGGGCACGCTAGATGGGCAAACCACGATGCAAAAAAAGGCGTTGGGCCTGCCGTCACTCATCTCTCAGTTTACACAGCGTAAACAAAGTCCAGTATCATCATCCAGTAGATTTCCCTCAACCCTCATTCTGAACACTTCAACACATCCCATCGATCGGGACGGTAGTTCGAATGGGTGCCCTACATCTCATGTATTTTTATTTTTATGTGTAAATACACATGTTTCAAAGGTGATATCTATGCCGATCAAATCCCATCGATCGGGATGTTATCTCGAATGGATAGCCTACCTCTGATTCGAATGTTTCAAAGGAGATATCCATGCCAATCACATCCCATCGATCGGGATGTTATCTCGAAAGGGTAGCCTACCTTTGATTCGATTGTTTTTGTTTCAAAGGCGATACATTGGTCAACCTTGTTCAACAAAAAGGGGGCCGCGGAATACACCATAGAGATGAATAACCCCCCCGTCCTAAGGCAAAACCCAGTGATCGAAGCAGGAACAAAGACACGATGATGATGATGATGCAGAACAGGGGGCGAAAACGTCTCCGAATGAAATGTATAGCACACCTTGCGACAAAGGACCCAAGATGTCGGAGGAGACGCCTCTTCTGGTTCCAGGAACAGACCTTCCGCCAAAGACGTGGGCACAAACATGGAAAAATATATAATAATGAGGAAAAGAACAAGACAAAATCGGAACCAAAACCCGAACCAGATCAGATTCCGTAGAGTCAACTCAACCTCTTCTGGTGCTAGGAACAGACCTTCCGCGAAAGACGTGGCATCAAACATGAAAGAATATAATGAGGAGGAAAAGAACAAAACGACAAATCGGAAAAACTCGAACCAGATCATATTCCGTAGAATCAACTCAAATCTAAACTTGCTGCTAGGAACAGACCTTTCGCGGACAACCATGGAAAAACAACACAAGCTTGGGGTACACTCCTGGAATAATACCATACCACGAAAGCATAAACAACTCCGGAACCAAATCTAGACCAGGGCACGTTCATGCGCTGTGACAGTACACCTGCGAGTCCGATTTTTTTTAAGGCATAAGTAGGTCGATTAGCTCCACAAACAAACAAAAAAATGCGAAAAAAATAAAAACGGAAAAAAGGTGGTGCATTCTATGGCGTGCACCTTTTCTTGCACCATTTCTTGAAACGTATCGAACGTACAGACGGCGGCCATGTACTCCGGCGACGACGGGTTGGTGATGAGGCTCCGTCCCTGACCAGCGCCGTTCTCCCCTTTCTCCTCGACAAGGTCGATCTTGGGGAACACCTGGAGAGCACCGGCAACGTCAAATCAGTACAATAGCCTTTCCCGAGGATACAAGCTTGGTTCCAGTAGGCGGGGTTGGGGTTGGGGTTAGGGATAGGATGCGAACCCCCCTTCTCCAACATTTCATAGATCAACAGTACAATCCTCGCGAAGGTGATCCAGAACAATTCAGCGGGGGTCCCGCAGAATCAAAACAAGGAATGGCGCGGAGCGTCCTCGTCAGCAGATGCATAGTAGCACTCGTTACACCCGTAGGTGATGGTAACATAACCTTCGTCAACCGGTACATACATAGCACCCGATACGTCCGGAGGGGGTAACATAACCTTCGTCAACAGCACCCGTTACATTCGGAGGGGGTGACGTAGTCTGCCAGGGGTGGGCACACCTGCACCGTGCGTATCCCCTTGTGCGTGTCGTGTTGGCTCTTGTATGACCCCTGGCACTCCATCAGGGCCGTCGCTGCACGATCCTCACGGAATCCTATCTGCACCGCCATATCGTGGCAACCAGACAGCGCGAGCAAACACGGGAAATCGCCCCGTTAAAATGAAAGACTCGAGGACGACCTCATTTAATCAATAACCATTCGAGAGTCACCTGCCGCAGTTAAACGCTCGAGCATCGACAGTCAATACAACACTCTGGAACCACCTGTCACCTTGAAGACCCGACGTTACGGTAGTCTTGGCGGGGTGTGAGACGCCAGAATAAACTTCGCAGTCACAACCAAAAGTTCGGTCACTGTTACAGGGAAAGGTCTTTCCGAACACGAAAAGAAAGAAAAAAGACGGGGTCATCGAAACAACAAACAGGGCCTTGGCTAGACTGAGCGATCAGCACAGAACCCCAGCATCACGCCGATCACTGGTCGTCTGTACAGCTCAACAAAATCGACAACCAAAAAAACAAAAAAACGTGGGGTGTTCGACCACCCGATAGACGGGAAAGGCACACATGATGCTTCGGTGAAAACTCGTACCAGCTGAGGAATGCTCTTGTAGTTTTTTTTCCAGGTGTTGAGAACTTTCAATGACTTCACCTGCTGGGGTGTCTACGAGGTCGGACAAGGCTCACCGACAAAAGGTGTTTCGAAAAAAGAATCTCCTGGTCGATCAAACGAGTATTCCAGTAGAGGAGCGGCATGGACGTGTGGATGAAGTGCTGTATCGATGTAATGCCTGTTTCAAGATGTCTCACCTCTCTGAGTGCGGCCGAGAGGTACCGCCCGAGATCGCTGTCATACTTTTGGCGATTTTGTGTCTTGCCCCCTCCGATCTTAAAACGAAAAAACAGGACAGAGAAAAGAACTGCAGGTCAGGGACAACCGGCGACATCATCCAAAACCGTCAGGGACACAAAAAAGGTACCGAAGGGACGAAATCGAACAGCTTGCAGAGTCGTGAAAAGGTTGAAAGGGCGACAACGAATCAAGACACCAGGCAGAAAGGGATAAAAACGGACAGCGTGCAGCGGCGTCAAACGATTGAAACGGCGACAACGAATCGAGACACCAGACAAGATATACGCTAGAAGAACGACGGACGACACACACCAACACACGCCATGCTCCACAAAGCGGAACTTCACCACGTTTCAAGAACAAACAAGACCCTCTGGCTCATGCGATTCTGTGTGAGGGTGTTCGTCAAAAAGATCGCGACAGACTGGAAGGGAGTATTACCAGAGCAGCACCGAAACTTGAGGGGCAGTATCACGGACTTGGGTGCCTGGGCGAGCGTCCTGCAACAATTCCACACAGCTTCTAGTTTAAACAACAACACTTCATTCAATTGGACACCATCTAACAACAACATCCCAAGGGTAGTAGGACAACCTGGCCAAACAAACCAAAAACACTTGCTGAATTAAACTCCACACAAATAGCCCAAGAACAACGGTCCTAACGTAAACTGCACACCTCCCTCAACGACCCCGACGAGAGCATCAGCAGAGGGATCCAACGTTTCTTGAACGACGCACGGGTTTGTATGCAAGGTATTGCATCGGGTACTCACGAGGAAAGTGAACCGAAGGGGCTCCGTGGCCTGAATGGGCTGAGTAAACGCGTCCCGTACAAGATCTTTCGTCTGCGGCAGCGAGTGTAGACAGCCGGAGACGAAAGGAAAAAAAAAAACAGGAGACGAGAGCGACAAAACGGCGCGGAAACAACAAAAATCAACAAGAAAATATGAAAACATGGATAAGATTGTAGAACCGTGCGGAATAACAAAAATCGGCAAGAAAATGACCAAAAAAACGGACAAGATAGTAAAACTGTACGGAACAGCAAAACGACGAGAGAATCAGAAAACGCGGACAAGAATGTTCGAGAGCACCCCCGCTCCCACTATACCCGACTCTCCCACTATCTCGCCGAAGGAATGCATGATGTTGACGACCCCCGCGTGCGTTGTGTGTGTGTGCTTTCGTGTGTTCGACCCATATATTATGGGCGCCGGTCTACACCTTCCGGTGCACGCCGTACAGAAGGTGGAAAAACTAAACTCAGCACAATGGCCAGTATTCAGTCGGTATTTCTCTCACTCACTGCTGTACGGGTAAAGGTGCTGAGCGGAGATCGGAACGATTTTTACTGTGAAGGCAGCAACAACAACAACAACTACAACATCAACAGCAATCATACAATACCTTCGACTGCGGTATTTTTCTCAAACGGGTACATACAAAAGTCTTTCTGGGGCTGTATTTCGAAACAAAAAACAAAAATGCCCCCGCACCTGCGCCTCTCCGAAGCCGGCCAGGTCGTAAGTCTCGCTGATGCCCAAAGCCCTGATGTGCTTCGACAATCCCGTCCCCCCTTCTCCCGCGTCAAAGGCCGCCATGGTGATTTGGACTTGCAAAGTACTTTTGTTCCTCCACAAAGGTTCTTCCTGGCGTAGATTGGACACGCTAGCTGCCTGGCTGGAGTACGCCGTTAAAGGGGGCACGCAGAAAGCAACGGGAAAAAGAACACAAGGGTGTTGGTTTCAGGTTCGCGAAACACGCGCAGTGAGGTTTTACTGGTTGAGACAGGCACACAGAGTGTGCATTTTTTTTCTGCCGATGCTGAACAAGTCCTGCAACTCGCTTTTGCGGTCGATTGCTTGGAATCCCCTAGCGCAAAGTGGCATTGAGGTAAGGGTGTAGGACCCCCCGGATAGGCTGCTGACACGCCTGAGGACGTCAGCAGAAAAAAACGGAAAACAATAAAAACGGCACAAACTCCAGTAGGATTGGGAAATTCTGGTGCGTACAACCGCCCTCCCTCCCTGTGACGTCAAATCGGGTCTCCCGTGACCGTTCTTTGCTCTTAGCGCAATCGATTGCTCTTCGCTCTTGACTCCAACTGCCTTCATCCGCGTTGCAACATTAAAGTTAAGCCTTGAACCCCCGCCCCCGTACTACATGTACTGCTGTTTTCTCGTGCTCATAGTTAGACCGCTACTCGTTCTTCGACTCGATGTTTTCCTCTCCGCCACCCAAATAAAAACCAGGCCTCTGTCACCCGCCCCAAGCATGCATTTAACCGTCCCGTCCCAAATCCAACAAAATACCCGTCGATCGCAGATCGTCTGCCGCCGTACACAAGGGTGTTCCATAATCCGTACATACCGCCGTACACTCTCCATGATCCAGGGGTCGAGGGAATAATCCCTTCAATGTCATCGCGACCGATGCCTTCAACGCGTCTTCTTTTGATTGTATCTGAAGTTGTGGTTGCACTTACGGAGAAGTGCTCTCTGAACCGCAGCGTCACATCGGTTGCTGGAAACCGGCATCTCTACCGTACAGACCGCAATATATTGTGCAGATTTGTATGCATACATGGGACGGGACAGGATTTACCGGTAGGGCAGGCATCACAAAATGGTCTTTGTTTGCCCGTGTGGTCAATGCGGTTGGTTTCAAGCAGGGAACAACGTACAGCAGGAAGAGACGACGCGTCTATCTCGTTGTCCGCAGCAGCAAGAGCTAAAAAACATCCGCATTCCCCCGAAAACGGGAAGGCAGAGTTATCACATGATGCCGGCGGGATGGCGCGAGAGGACAGCAGTAGGTGAAACAGCAAGCGTGCAAACAACCGGAGCACTACTGCAGACTATCTTTTTCTCTTCTCGAACACGGAAAGATCTAGAAAAACGCAACTCGAAACACGGTGGTTGGTTGCCAATGCGGAACGCCTCGACGCCATTTCTGCCATCCTATCTATCATGCAGCGAGGCCGCACACCTCTCCCGCACCCATCCACAAATTACTGGGCTTGGGGGGGAGAGGGAGGTCGGTCGGTTCGAATTGCAAAGGTAAAGGCTACCACAGAGCAGGATCATCATGTGTTCAGAAAATCCTGAGAAAACATCAAGTCAGCACGTGATCGTCGTCAAATAAGAGGACATCCTCGACACATAAAACCAGCACTTCGATATGATCACACTTCCCGCAAGGGACGCATCGTGTGTCCGCAAAAGGTTATACCCTGTTACTGTTGGTCCCAAGACAGGTTCATCCCAGAGCTATCAATGCTACTTCTACAAATCATTAGGGTGCCACAAGTAGGCTGACTCTGTGATAACCCGACAACTATCTTTCGGGAACCCGGAGGTGAATCAAAGCCTCGAGGCACACGATTGGATGGGTGCATCAATTCCGCGTTCAGACGCATACCCAGCAACGCTCCTCACCTCACCTCCTGGCCCGTCTTTGCTCGCTCGATTCTGTTCTCGGTGTGCAACTTCACCACACCATCCGGCCTGCCCATCATGCAACCCCCCGATAGCTCCCCGCAAGATAGCACGTACCCTCATCTTTCCATCTGCGTTCCCCCTCGACCATGTTCACAATGTTCACTCCCATGCGCCGCGTTTCACATAAAGAGCCCGAGAGCTAACTACACTGCGCAGCGCGACACTACTGCTGTTGAAGGCCAAGTCCCGTGGAGGTGAGAATTTGTTCGTGCGTGTCTCGAGGGGGCGAGCGTTGATGCCTTGTGGGCAAGAGCATCCCCCACATAATGCAGCGATCAACACATAGTCGTTGGGTGGCGCAGCAGGACCGTCTGCTTGCTTGCCTTGGCTGCAGGACAGGAGAGCTTCCGGCGCCACCGCAAGAGAGTGTCGCTGTGCGCCAGGTGAAAGGCAAGGAGTATGGTGCACAACCGCAGCAGCCACAAGTATTTGTGTCCTTGCATTTGTTGTGAGGACACGTGCTCTCTCTTTTGGTACAAACACAGCTCGGAGATCAATGGCGATTTTCGTGAGCTGGCCGCATCTGCAACACTGCTGTTGTATTTTCTCGCCACACAAGCGGGCGTTGTCTGCGACGTTGCCGACTTGTATAACAACTGCATAGCTCACGCACAGCTTTAGCGCAGTGCTTTGCTTTCCCCAGGCTTTATGTCTCCAGACTCGGGTGTGTTTGCCGTGGGTGACAACGATGCGCATGGAGGGGGGGGGGGGGGGGGCCTTGTCAACTCAGCCAAAAAGAGCGGTTGTGATGCGTGTATGTATGTGTGAGCAGCAGGGTTGTTGGGCCCTCGAAGTTGAAGGTGATCGAAGGGCGACCGAACGCAACCAACTTGTGTGTGCTGCTATGCTTCTTCCTCACTCTAAGAAGCCGCGTGCTTGGTCGGAACAGTGGCATGCGCGCTGCCTTCGACGCCACATACCCCCTTGACTGAAGAACGCTCATTGTACATTTGGCATGACAGCATGCACAAGCTCTGTGTGCGTCGAAGGGATTGAAACGCAAACACACACGTTTGTTTAGTGACGTGGACGGCACATGCATACGAGGCGTACACGAAACGGCACAACAGCGCTGGCCGTGTCCTTGCACGCGCGCCGTCTTTGCCCCCCAATGCCCGCAAAAATGGGATGCCCACAACAGCGGTAGTATCGTACTAGCTGTAGTTGCACTTTTTTTGTTCAAAGGACTAAAGGAGGAGGGATCTACATCATATTATCCATGCTACGTGCCCACGATGTCGTTTCCCGTGTTTTCTACAGTCAGTCCATTGAAGTCCTTAGCCCACAGCTGTACAGCAGTACTGCTGTAGATCTGTAGATTGGACAGCGTTAAAAGCCAGGACGACTTACGTCACCACCTGCCTGCTTGCCTTGGAGGAAGACAATGCTGTGTTCTGCGCGCAACGGCGACATGGGCCACCGCCTCCACGGCTGTGCTCTCCTATGCAATCGTGAACCCGGAAATACGTCCATCGGTCGATGCAGCCAATCCCTGGGGGGTTCTAGCAGAGTACTGGCAGGACTGCAACTCCCTTGTCCGCGCCGGTGCCCGCATGGTCTCTTCTTGTGCCGGGCAGTTTCGACGTACGACCCCGCCCCTGTAGTTGCACATTCCCTTACGCACTGCTCTGTTTTTTTAATGTGCTTGTCCGGTCAACAATCATCGCCGCAATGAAGTTCGGCGAGTTGAGAGACCCGGCAGTCGCATCAAGCCGAATAGTGATTTTGCTGGAGTTATTTTGTTCGGCAGCAGCAGTATTTACAGGTCAACTTGCCAAGTATGCGGCAGGTTGTGAGTTTGATCCTCACGCTGGAGCAAAATTAGTTGCAATTTGCGGTGGAAAGCGTTTTTTTGTGGCTGTACACACGTTCGACTTGACGGTCGACGAGGGACTGGACCCTTTTCGCGATAGTACCTAGGGCAAGCACCTTCGGAGGGGGAGGTGGGGCATCCAAAATATAATTTCGACTAAGAAAGCTCTGTGAGACGTCGTCCTGTGTGACTCTGGATGATCGGGCAATACAAATGGCATCACCGATAGGTGCATGTACAGACTGGCAGTAGATACAACAGACGGCCGCACAGCAGCAGCAGCAGTTCACGGTGACCGGTGCGACAGAAAAGGGCGAGAGCGGACTCGACAAGCCCGGCCGCGTTTCTCCGCTTGACCCGCTATAAAACGGGACTGGGTGGTATTGGCCAATCAGCGTGAGGCCTCGGGGTCGATTCCCGAGTCAACTCTGTTGTGTGCTTCGCAGCACCCTCCCCTCCGTACCGTTTTCTGTCGTTTGCCCATCTGTGGTATGGCGTGAGGCGAAATAAGTGTGATGAACTCTGTCCCCTCTGGGCGGTGTGCTGAGATGTTGAGATCTCAACGAGGAGACATACTCAGGGGCGATTTTATGTGGTTCGTGCTGTACTGAACGCTTTTATGGCGTACTTGTTCAATACACACGATATGAATCTCAACTACAACGAGAACCCCTTTCTTTTACGGGCTACTGCTGTACTTTCTTTCTTTTTCAGGGCCTGACCTACGCATGACATCATACCCATTCGACTGCACCCGTCCGTGTGACTGAGGCAATGGTACGGCCAGTATTTCATTAGTGTCATGCCTAAATGTGCGCGACACACGCCAAAAAACATGAAGCACACACATAACCACACCACACATTAGAGAACACATTTGGGTAGATGCTACCTGTTGCCCGCGTTCCTTCGTAACCCGGCCGAGGTGATCGTGCTTCGTCGAACGTGACCCGCGGAAAAACAATCTAAAACTGTGTGGTTTCGGATGGTGTCAGCAGACAGCCCTTTTTGTGCACAGCTTGTCGGTGGGAGCCGGACTGTGCGTCCTCGACCAATAGGATAGCGTCAACACCAATGGTAGTCTGAACGAAATGTTTTAACCGAGCCACCCCCTTACCCCTTTGCTGCTGCTGCTGTTGTTGTTGTTGTGCTGTCGCTGTGATTTTCGTGTGCGAAGCAAGCATTCATTGGCGAGATCGATCGCTTGCCGACGGAACTGTTCATTGGCCTGAGGCAACAACAGGGCAGGCGGAAACAGCAAGCGAGCGACAGCAGTAGCTAGGCCCCGTGGGAGGGCGGGAGTAGCTCTAGACGAGGGCGAAAGCGGCGAACACGATTTACTGGGAGGAGCTGGTCGAAGAACCAAAAAGAGAAGGCGAACGACGCCAAGGAGGGAAGAGATTCCAACCTCGCCGAGGAAGAAGGCAGAGGGGGCCTTTCAGTAGACGACGACGTAGGAAGAGGCAGGGAGACAGAGAGGCGGGAGGAGGCTGCCGCAGCGAAAAAGGGGGCCGGCGTGACAGGGTTTCGGGGTTGAAGAAGAGACCCAGGACCGAGAAAGAACAAGAAAGGGGCCCCCGCAGAAAGCGAAAGGCAGTTGCGCACAGGCAACTGTTGCTTAGCCCCAAGCGCAAAGAAGGCAGAGTACAGGCGACGGCTACGGTTTAGCCCCAAGCAAGGAAGCAAGGAAGGAAGGCAGGCAGCATGAGCGGGGGCGTCCCGAAGCGAGCCCAGTGGGCAGATGACACCGACTCCGACGTGGACGAGGTGAGAAAATCAAATAATTATCGTGTGTGCATGTTCGTACTCGTTCATGTTGAGGACATTTTTTTTTTTTTCGTGGATCTTCGTAAGTCAAAATCATTTGTTGTGCGTGCATGTGTGTTGTTTCCTGCGTGAGACTTTTTTTTCTTCGTTTTTGTGGCCGTGTCGCTTGGCGTGGATTCGACGAGGCTAGAAAATCAAACCTTTCGTGCATGTGTGTTGGTTCCTGTTTTGAGTCTTTTTTTTTTTATGGCCGTGTCGCGTGGCGTGGGTTTGACGATGCCAAGAAATTATCTCCTGTTTTTTCTTTGCTTTCTGCAATCGACCGCGCTAACAGGCTGACCAATGACCAAGACGTCGGTCCAGTGCCGTTGAAAACAGAATATGCTTTTTAAGGCCGTGGCATCTGTGTGTCGTCGTTTCTATGAATTTTGTTTTTCTTATTTTTGTTTGCCCGCAATGAGTGGTGTGGCGTCGACTACATTTCGGCCACATGTGGGTCTATACACAGACGATAGTAGGTGGGTCCAAAAGCTTACTTGCTTTGGTAGGTACTTCTGTTTCCAACCAGATTTCGGACAGTATATGGCATCCTGTTGCGGCCTTGTGCGCCGCCGTGCTGTTGGGCCTGGAGACATGGAACAAATCCGTAAAAGTTGATGTTCATGCTGTGCATAGACCCTGACCATGTTTTCCAGGCATCAGAATGGGATTTTCCTATGACCGACCCCCTTGTGTCGGAAAATGGGATTGGTTATACCCACCCATGTCTACCATGTCCCTTCTTATCGGGAGGTAGTTGTCGCTACAATTTTCTTTGTTTTCGTCAGGAGGTGGTTAATCACCATTCTTAATTCATCGGCAGGTAGTCTACCACGTGCCTGACCGGTGGTTGTTTTAGCATAAAACATGCGGCCCAATCACCAGGTAGCTGAATGCGGTGCAATGCATTTGCAGACCCAAGAGTGGACGCATACAGTAGGTTGCATGACGTAAGACAGCCCCCCCCCCACCCCCCCCCCCTCCTGGAGCGATGTCGAAGCTCGATTACTCCGCGACCAAGCGCATGACGATGCGTTTTTGAAAAGCTCTCGACGAGACGGTTTTTTAAACCCCGCCATTTTTAGCACCGTCGCCGCTGCTTTGTTGGGCTGCAGACAACTCGGATTAAACCGGTCCTGGGGGTGTGGTGTGTCTTGCAACCTATGGTGTAGCTACGTTTTGCGTGTTCCAGCAGGCGCATCGATCATAGACAATTTCTCCCTGACATGATGCCCTGCTGTGGGTCCCCAACAAGCTAGCCCCCTGACTAATCCCTTCACACCTAGGTCATTGCGATGCCGATTTTCAACAACGCAGCATCCAGCAGTTCGTGGACGCCATGCAAACGGGGAGGGTGGAGGGGGTTCCGTGCCACGGACCCCCCTCTGCCCGTTTGCGTGGAGTCCGCGAGCTGGTGGATGTCCCGTTGTTGGAAAGCCTCCGTCACAATGAGCTGGTGTGCGGGACTTGGTCCGGGGACTTGCCGGTTCGACGACCACGTGACGGGCATCACGCCAGGGTCGTCGCGAAAGGTTCATGATCGATGTGCGTGCGGGTGTGCAGTGCTTGGCCGGGGGTGTTGATGGTCTCGGGGACCACGTGCTGTTTGGCAGAGTCGCCGTCCTCGTACCGGAGAACGGCCTTCGTGAGCAGCTAAGTCTACGAGGAAAATAGAACGGGAATTGGGCACGCAGACCCTGTACCCCCTATAGCCCAACTTCCCGGATTGCATGATTTGTCCTACGTGTTTGCTTTGTGGAAGCCTCGACAAGGCTTTGTCAAGTCTTCGTAGGGGGCTCTCCTTTCATTGGTGGGGCCAGAAAGAGCGGGAGGAACAGAGGGTAGGATGTGAAACGGGATATGAGCAGAGATGGGGGCAGCATGAACACACAGCGAGAGCTTCACACATATTCAGCTACAAGAGAGAAGTCACCGAAAAATACAGCATGGGGACGGCTGTATCATAGAACCGAACAGAACGAAACCCACAGCGCAACGAGACTGAACGGCGATACACCAGGAGGAAAACAAACTAAATAACCATGAAAAGGCCAAGATGACAACTTGATCACGATGAAAAACAATAATGACAAAAAATCGGACTTTCACAACGAAAGACGACGTTTGAGAGCGACGCAGGTAGCAGTACAGCAAAGGAAAGTAGAGAATCAGAAAAGGACGAGGCTCACAACTTGACCATGATGAAGACAAAGTTCGAGCATTTACTCCGATCCTGCCGCCGTCTTTGCCGTGAGTGAGAGACGGAAGGCGCTACCCTTGTCCCTGCAGATCTTGAGCCTGGCACCTGGCACAATACCGAGGCGCTCCGCCCAATCGAGGATATAAGCTGGGCCAGCCAACAAGCTCGCTTTCGTTCGTTCGTGTCTCATGCAGTCGTTTCCAGGACTTAAGGCTTAAGTTTCGGTGGCTGCTCTTTTGAGACAGCAGTAGGGGAAGGGCAGGTGCCAGAGTTGTTCGAATCTTAGTTGAGTTGCAAATGGATCTCCCTTGGAGTGCTGTTCGAACGGCAAGTCTGTCTTTGATTTTGCAATTGTTTTCAAAAGAATGTATTTGTACGTATGATTTCACAAAAATATGATGGAAAAATGAAAAAAATCCCCGAGCTTGGGTGTTTCTCCTCCAAAAAGTCTATTTTTTCCGTTGTCTGTCTGCGTGTCTGTCTGTCTTTGTCAATGTGATAAATGACTAACATGCATGGTATCATTGGAATGAAATGGGATGGAAACAGGCAGTCGCCGCCGTGGGCACCAAGAGCAGCGGCAAGAAGGGCATGACCTCCTGGGCCGACAGCGACACCGAGAGTGACGTGGACAACGCCGGCCCTCCGCCTAAGAAGCTGGATGCCTTCGGGGAGAGCGAGAGCGAGAGTGAGAGCGAGTCAGAGGACGAGAGCGAGGTAGGCCGAGGCATTTGCTTCATATAATTGGTGTTATTGGTGTTGTTGAGGAGTTTCCCGTCTGTTGTTCAACGAGGTAGGCAATCCACATGCTTACGCAATAGCTGTTGTTTTTGTTGTTGTTGGTGGTGGTGTGTAGGGAGTCTTGTGCCTGTCTTTCTTGTATTTATTCCTACCATGGCTTGTGACTACGGACGAAAGCGAGGTAGGCAAGGCATATGCACACGTAGAATTGTTGTTGTTGATGGAGTTGGGGAGTGTTGCTTTTTTCTGTTCTGCCATGGTTGTTTTCCATGTACTGGTATGTCTTCATCTGGGCAGAGAACCAGAGGTTTCGAATACAAGGAAACCAGCCTTCGATGAGGTACCGTAAGTTCCATGGCGTAAGGTACCGCACCCCACCGGATAGACTTTTAAACCCTGATTACTCCACAACGAAGAGGATGCCACAATCGAACGATATGCTTTGGAGGAAAACCTATCGACGAAAGGGTTTCAATACCGACATTTTCAGCACCGTCACCGATTTTCGTGCAGATAAACGCTCACGGGGGTGTGGTATCTTAAGCAACCTGCGGTACAGAGATGTTGGAAGCTTCTTCCTGCGGTGTGGGTGATTGTTTTTCTCCATCACGACGCAGTTCCTCTCCCTTCCACCCCCCTCCTAACGGGTCGTCACTTTGGTCAGGATGATGAGGAGGAGCCGCCAGCCAACACGGGAGTTGTAGGGAGCGCAGCCGTAGCCGGAGAGGAGGAGCCGGAGAGCGCGGCCGTTACAGGGGATGATGCTACCAAGGTCCTCAATCTATCTAAGAAGGAACGGAAGGTGTGTGTGTGTGTACAACACGAGAGGGGTGTCCGGCGTGTGTGCGTGCACATGCAATCTGTTTGCTTCCTATTATAGTTGTGTGTCTTAAGACGACGGTTGTTCTTAGCATGTGTGCACGCATGTGTGCAATATTTGCTTTTTGTTGGTTTTTGTCAGCGTCGATCGCTCTGATCGGCCGGCTGAGCAGTGAGAATGGTATGCGTTATAATCAGTAATTTTGTGTTCGTACATGCTAGAGTTGTCTTCTTTATATACCTGCGGCGTAGTTCGTTTTCAGCGCCTCTTTCGGTAGTGTTGAAACTCCGTCGATGTATCGGTTGGAGGGGGGGGGGGGGGGCGTGACGAATGCCTAAACCTGATTATTTCGCTTTTGAGGGGTGGGGGATATGAGGGTAAAAAGGTTGTTGGGGGTCTGCCCCAGTCCCTCGGGATTCCCCGGGGCCCCCCCCCCAAAAAAAAAACCCCTTCCAAAAAATGAAGGGATGAATGATGCAAAAACGGGAACTCCCCGGGGCGGGCCCCGCATGGGACTGGGGAAATCAAACCTCCCCCCGCCCCCATCCCACCCCGGAGTTGTCCTACCACCCGCTGCGTTCATTCATGCATGTGGCATCAACGGGTACACCCCCCCCCTCCCGTTGGCCCACGTTCCCGTCCGCGTGCACATCATTTTTTTATTCCTCTCTAGGCGCTCAAGCAGAAGGAGCTTGATGACCTGGATGCGCTGCTCGGGGAGTTCGGGGTTGACGGTGAGAGGGGACGTACGTAAGCAGAGGCCTATGTATGGCCTTTCCTTATTTGCCGTCTCCGTCAAGTTGTAGTCAAGGGGGTTGAGTATCTTTTAAGGTGGACCGGGTATTCGGAGGCTGGAGGGCAGAGGCTGTAGCTGGCTGCTCGCCTTTGTGGTATGCAGGGCGTTACATGGGCGCCTGCTTCTGCTGTGCTTCGGTTTGAGTTGGGAGAGCCTCGAATGGGCCGCCGCTGTTTCTAGGGTAGAGTGGAAGGGGGTCAGCGACTGGTGCGGGTCACCGTTGTTTTGGGTGCCATGAGCTCGCTTCTGGGCCATTGAGGACTCCTCCGTGAATACTGAAAGGAGATGGCGAAAGGCGGAAGTGGTCTGGTTGTGACTTGTGACGTTTTCTCTCTCACGGCTTGTTGTAAGCGTCAGAGTTGCTGCACTCTGATTGGCCTTGAGCATTTGTTTTTCCAGAACGGTGGGCGCCGGGAATATTGGGTTTGACCTTGTCGTCGAAGGTTGTTTGTTGCTTGAACGCAAAGCGTCCTGCTCGAATGACGGGGACCCTCCAAAGAACAACAATCAATTCTGTCCACAGATTTGTGTAAGGCGAACAGGTGCGCGGTGTGGGAAGGCGCTGAATCAGGTTAACGGCGTCGACTTTTTTTTGTCGCGCTTGCCATGTCTCATGTTTTTTTTTTTCCGAACCTCGCACGCGTCCAATTCCGATTATATCGCCAACAGTGGCACCAGAAGAGCCTGCGACAGAAGCAAACGGCTCGGCTGCAGCCGCAGCGGGGGGGGGGGACGCGGGGGCTGACGTAGCAGCAGCAGCAGCAGCAGGGGCGGTGGCGGGGGAGGGAGGGGAAGGGGCGGGGGGCAAGAAAAAAAAAAAAAAGAAAAAAGGCGCCGCTGCCGCCGACAAGAAGACGGGGGCGGCGGGGGAAGGCGAGGGGGACGGGGGCGCCTTAGCCGCTGGCGACAAGGTGGGATGCTGCTTTTTTTTTGTTTCTTGTAATCTTCCAAAATCAGCGTATAATAGCATTCGTATCGCGTGCTCCAACCCGTGGTCACAACAAAAGAGTCCCCTCCCCCTGAGGCCTGTGTGTGTTTGTTTTTTTCCTTTGCGAACAGAATTGCGGGACAACACCATGTTATTGTTGTTGGCATTTTACCGCTGTGCATCTGTACGCTGCTGTCCGATGCTGTTCTCGGAACGTTCCAAGAATTGTGAGGCGTCGTTTGTTTCTTTGCGGCATCCATTTTCTTGGAAGCACTTTCGTTGTTGCCGGATTTTTTCCTTTTGATGTTCCGTTACATCTTACTCGGAACACGGCGGCGACATCAGAGGTTAACGCATCGAAACTTGTTCTTTTTTTTGGTGCAGGGACGAGGGGAAGAGCCACCGGTGGTGGTGATCCAGCCCATCACAGCAGCGTTGAAGAAAAAGGTGTGTATGCTAATCGCGTGTCACGCTATGCCACGGCCTTTCTGCTGTGTTCTGCGCTACGCGGCGCTGCTGTGCGCTGGCAGTGCTGTACTTTGTGTTGTGGCGCGTTTGCTGTGCGCGACTGCTGTGCTGTCCCAGGTGTCCATTATATTATGTTCAATGCGGTGCGTGCACCTGGGGCACTCTTAGCGCGGTTTGGTGACTCGGCTCGCTAATTACTCCTCGCCGATTCTCGGCGAACATTAAAAAAGCAAGCATGGTATCGCACCATCACGTGATAACGCACCAACACACGGCCGCCTCCACACTCCTTCAGTAACACCTAACGCTGGTTGGTCGATCGTGTTCGTGGTTCACCTCCGCCGCATTCTCAGCGAGAATTACACTACATCCATGGTAGTGCACCATCGCGTGGTAATGCACCATCAACCGGCTGGCTCCGAATTCACAACACTTAAACGCTGGTTGGTCGATTTGGCTTCGTTGTTCACCCCCGCCTCCTGCTCTGGGGAAGTTCACACAATAGCCCATGGTAAAGCACCATCACACGGCCGCCTCCAAACTCCTTCAGTAACACTTGACGCTGGTTGGTCGATCGCCGTTGTTGTTCACCCCCGCCGCGCTTCTCAGGGGAAAAAGAAGTCTTCCGCGGGCGGCGGAGCCAACCACGGCGCGGCGGCGTTGAAGGCTGCCAAGGAGGCTGCCGAGAAGGAGGGGAAGAAGAAGAAGAAGAGGGACAAGAAAAACTTCAACCAGGTGTGGTACATACCTATGCCGTTTTCAATGCAACCGAATTGTTTTTCCGATGGCTTGGTTCCAAGTGGCGCACATTTCGCTTCTGATCTCTCTCTCTCTCTCTCTCTCTCTCTCTCTCTCGCTTGCCTCCGATAGCTTCAGCCAGGTGTGCGGCGTACAAAAGTGTTATTTTTTTTGTTCATTTGCCGCCAGTTTCGCGGTGCGTAAAGACCCTATTTGGGGAGTGTCTCTCGTTTTTGTTCTCGTCCTGTAGTACTCGTGACATGGGTCGGTGAATTCTATTTTCAATCAAGATTCATCGCTTGACGTGTGTTGGCGCTGAGTGCAGCTCCATTCCCCCCCCCTCCCCTTTCGTCCGCCGTGCCACCGTGTCCCCCTGCCGTCCATTGCTGTCTTGCCGAACCTATATTTTTCCCCATCTCGAAGGCCCCCCCCGGCAAGTAGTACGTGGCCATGTCGACTACTCTTGGGAGCTAGCTCGCTCTTGATGAGCGGTTTGTCACAACGGATGCACCAGTCTGCACGCACACGCGTGTCGGTCGTGGTGGTGAGCTGGAAATGCGGACGTCGCTCCTGGCAGGCGTTCCTCAAGCGTGAGGGAGGTGCCGGTTGGTGGTGAACGGCGCCGAGAGAGAGAGAGAGAGAGAGAGAGAGAGAGAGAGAGAGAGAGAGAGAGAGAGAGCTGTGGCTTGTTTCGATTTCCTTGGAGGCACGATCTTTTTCGCCAGAGTGGGGCTAGGTAGCCGGCTTGGTGGGTGGCTTAGCGCGTCGGTGTTGGTGTTGACAATTTGGGGGAAGAGCGTCCTAGACGTGAGGTTGATTGAGCTGCTCGGGCGAGGACATCGAAGCCGTACCCTGGATTTGCTGGCGTGTGATGTAGACTTAGGAAGGAGTTAGGGTAGACCTCGGGTAATATGACAAAAGCCTGGTTTTCCACACGTCGACCAGAGGTTACGATGATATTCTAGGATGCGTTTGAACGGCGCTGTTCCCCTCGAACCACCAAGAATTGCTGTAGACTGACTTATCTAGTGCTTGTCACAAAATCCAGGGGGGGACACTCGTTATTAACCATTGTTCGCAAAGTTTGCCCCAGTTGTTGTGGCGCTACATACCTCCCACGGGAGGGATTGACGCCGACACAGGTAGGCGTTGTTGGGGGAGGCGAGGTAACGGTAGGCGCGTTAAAGGCATGATCACATCTCGCGTTTCGAGCTCCCAAGGAGGATCGAGATTCCTGGAAAATTCCCCGTGTTGACAGCAGACAACCGAGCTTTGTAGGCCGACTTTTTTGTCGCTTGTTGTGGACACTATGGTGGCGACAAGAACTTTCTGTTCCGTTTGCTGGATGGACACCGTGTTGTGTGTTCGGATGATCACAAGCCTATTGTTGCGTTGACCTCTCTGCTGTTCGGCGAAAGTCTGCTTGTTCCGGGCCGGGCTTGTTCGGTGCCAGACGATCATCCCCAGCTGTGCGGGAGGTATAAATGGGGACGGACAACAGCGAAAATATCTGCATCTTCTTGTTGTCTCCGGTTTTGGTGCCAGAAGCCCAATTCGAGTGAAGCACCAGAAACCGCTGCTCCTCACCATCCCGGCCTTACGAGACGGCAGCGCACAACCCCTCCTTTAGTTGCGGATGGGTTCAGCGTTGTTCCTTGTGGTCGACGGCGCACGGAATGGGCCGTGCTCTTTTGGCTCCCCAAGACCTTGAAGCCTGAGCAAATATAATTTCACGTGGTGACTTGCTTGAGTTTGCCACGGAGTTGTTGTCGCGACAATCATACCCCATTTCTTTTAGTTCTCAGTCCGCCGGGACACTTGCTGTAGCGCGTGGTCCTGCGAGAGAGGGAGACGAACCGTTTGGGGTGGCAGCGGGTGCGTCCCTTTTTTTCGACACCTGATGAGGAGGTGGTCGGTCGCGTTGAGAAGAGCGGTTCGGGGACCTCTGCAATCTTGAAGTCACCGAGATCCTCAGCCAGTACGAGGGCCGTCGTCTCCTCAGACCCGGGATTCAAATACTCGAGATCGGGTCCTCGTCCTCCTCGTCCTCGTCCTCCTCGTCCTCGCCCTCCTCCTGTCCTCTTCGTGATGCAGCAGTTTGTTGGATTGGTGCCCAGTCTTCCGTACCGCGTACCGCGGTAGGCGTCATGAGACCCTGTCCACAATGGGGCTGCCACAGCCCCATCGAGAGATGGATCCGTCCTATCCACTCAAAAGAGGGTACTCACGCAAGAAGACAAAAAGAGCACATGGACGCACTCGCATAGCACTCGGCGACGACTAATGTTAGCAGGAAGCCGAGACAAATGGCCACTGCTGTCTCAGCGGCACCTGGTTGCTACTACATATTTATGTAGCAGAGCCTTGTGCTAGGCAGTACGGGGTAGCAGCGGCGCAAGCAACTGGCAAGGGAGCGGTCCGTGTTCATGGGTCGTTAGATTAAGCGGAGTACTGCTATACACAGATGAGCCCACACATATATGAGGTGTGAAGGGCAGGTCTGATTCACGGCGGCAAGCGATTCACGCAAAGCGCTTCCTCAGCGTAGCAGCAGGGGCGGCGGGAGAAGAAACTCCCGAACAGCAACCAAAATTCTGGTTCGGGCTCGACCAATCATCTGTCCCCCCTCCCCCCTCCCCCCCTCCCCCTTGGTCCACTGCTCCTTCGCCTGTGTGACACTCTCATCAGGTCAACACACCTGCCTGGCCTGGTGCTATCATCGCCAACTCATTCGTGCGAGAGGTAGCATCAGCCCTGATAGGCCGTCCCTAGGAGGCTTTCCCTCCTCCACCGCCGCGTGTGGGTGGTGTTTTCGTCTTGAAAGCGGCGGAGTTTTTCTGACGGGTGTGTGTGTGTCGGGTGTCCGCATCATTCCTTCGTCGTATCATACCGAGACCATCATCATCATCGTTTGAGGAGGCACGGACGGCGGTCTCACAGCGGCAGAGGCGATGCTGGGTATGATCCAGTCGGTGTTTGCGAGGACCAGGCGTGCTTGTCGGCAGACAGGTGAGAGAGAGAGGGGGGGAGGGGCAAGGACTTCCCCTCGGGGTTTGATGAAGTTGAGCAAGCGGCCGCCTTTTGTCCATACCTCAAAGGGCCAGCAGGTTTGTTTTCAACCAACAGACGTGCATTTTGTCAAGTACCGTTGGGCGTGACGCCAAACTTAGACGTTCTATCTGCAGTTATACGATAGCAGAGAGCAAGCGTGATATCTTGTCGGGCGAGGGCTCTCTGGGGGCGGAGCAGCAACGGGCAAGCGACGGCCCCCTGATGTACCACGATTTATCTTCCTAAATATTGGTGATATACTCCAGGGATCCCTGGGAAGATGGCCCGTACCTGCTGCCGCGCTTCAACTACAATTTTCATGCGATCTCGCTGCTACACCGCCGCCGGTGCTGCTGTCTCCGCGGACGCGGCGATCGTCGCATTGGAGCGCCCCATAGAATTCCGTGAATATATATGCTGCGCATTCGTTCCCCGTGCACGCCCCTACACTGCTATTTATTTCCCCAGCTGCTGCACCCGAGAAAGCATGCGGTCAGATTTCGAGTCAACTGGTAGGGCGTGCTGTTTTGGCTGTCAGCTTCATCAGCAGTGTAGACGACAGCAGGGGCCCGTAGAAATCTCGTGCTTCCGGCATCATCGTATATCCCCCCCGCCCCGTGGAAAATGGCCTCTGGGTATTGCTATTGCCTCCACTGATCGTAACCTAGAACCTAGAACTGGATGCCGAACACGTCCGATGTTCCTCCTACTACATGGCAGGAGGGGGTCCAACCCCCCCCTCCCATGTGACCCCGGTTGGGTCGTCTAGCTAGTAGACGTGGAGGATAGGGGCCAGAGGGGCAGATGACAGAATCCAATGATGGGAGAAAAAAATATATATAGTACTCTTTTCTCCCTGGGTGTACACGCACAGCAACATTTTTTTCCAAACATGAACCCTTCTACACAGGCAGCTGTTTTCTACGGTCAGATGATTTTCGACATGAGCGAACGAAACTACTGCTGCTGTGAAAGGGCAACGAGGAGGCAGTTAGGTGTTGTAATGCCGATTTGAAGGCCTTCGTTACAATGATCGTTCTTGCAATAATGCGAGCGAGAAAGCAATGGAACACTCGTTGGCTGCGACGTTTAGTAGCGCTCGCCCGCACATACCTAGTTTAGGCCGGGATGGGACTGTTGGTTCCCAGGGTTATGCTACGAATGGTGGCTATACAGGTTTTGGTGTGAGGGTGCACAACATGCTGCACAAGTGATTTTTGAGTTTCTCGAGGCCGGATCTCACGTGCGAACTCTTACCACCGTGTATGTCAGAGGCAGTTTTTTCGTGTTACGAGAGAATCCACCCATTGTTGTGTAGAAGTACAACGTATACATGTAGTGTGATACTCGCGTGCACCAAACGCACATACAGAAAGGGTGTCGGCTGGTGATGAATTGAATGACAACACCAATGCGTACCTGCTACATACTCGTATCCGTGAGTGCCCTTGGAGAGAAGGACTGCTGTTGAACCCTTTCTAGCGTCGACATGAAGGAATTGTTTTCTGCGTGGCCCCAGATCGGAGCTCTTCAATAATGATACATCCGTGAAACCTTGAAGGGTGCATAGCTCAAAGCTGCGAGCCAACGCCGCGAATACACGGGATTGGCGATAGATCAAACAAACTAAAAATATTTCAGATTTTTTTTTTTTCTTTTTTGGTCTTCACTTCAAGTGAGCGCTCACGGCACTCGTGCCGTTTACTCCAACCCGTGGTCACACAGAAGGGTTCCTCTCCCTCAGGCCCCCTACCCACCCCTCCTGCGGTACTTGGCCTTCGACATTTCATGCGAGAAGAGGGCAGCACTCTCCTCCCCCTGTGTACACACCAACTAGCGCTTTCCACCCGGGCCAGGAACGGAAGCGAGAGAAAAACTCACATTGCAAGAAAAGCTCGCTTACGCCGGGATTCGAACCCCTGACCCTGGCCACTAAAAGGGTCGAGAATACCAACTACTGTAGACTACCGGGGCGACCGGCTAGTAATTATAATGATAAGAGTATAAGTACGGCTTTCGGAAGAAGTAAGAAGCACCGCTCTTGTTGCATTCTCTGTCCGTAAATTTACGATCGGTAAGGGTTTCCGGATCATAGGGAGTATTGGTGATAGCAATGGATGATAAAACAACATCTACGGTTTTCGGCAGAAATTTGAAACCCCGCTTTTGTTGACAAAACTGCCACGTAAATTCGGTGACACCGGCAGCAGAGGCGCGCCCTAGGACACGTTGCCGTTTTTTTTCCGGGGTACAGCAGTAGGGCGCAGAATGTCGAAGACGTTCGAGACACGTCACGGCACACGTATCTGGTGTGTTCGTTGTTTTCCCAACGTTTCTGATGTTCATGAGATTCAAAGGCTTGGAATCAGTTTTTTTTGTTCTTTTGTGGCGTCGCCGTTTCGTGCTTGTTAGAGCTAGCGGCGGTCACTGTCATTCGATATCCGTAAAATGCCGGCAACGATGCAGTACTGCTGTCGAATGCGAGCCGTGTATCGCACCATGCCGAATACGGAACGCACCACGTGCCTGCGTTCGCGCTCGTGAATCATACGGCACACCCCCCACCGGAAGCACTATCTGAAGCCCCCCCCCGTCGAGTGCTTGGTCGTCAGGTTTGAGCTGTCGGTCAGATCGGTGCCAAACGTTGGCTTGGTGAATTTTTTTATGGTGGGTATGCATCGATACGGTACGCTGCGAGCGCTCCTTTCTCACCAAGCCATGGACAACAACTACAGCACCAATGCGTTGTCATGGCTAACAACGTCAGAGCAACAACGTGGCGTTTTCCAGCTGGGTTTTTCTCTATGCGAGGGGCCAAAAAAAAATCTAGACCCCCTCTGTAACGACACATGAGACGACGCGCAATCGATCTTCTGTAACGCGTGAGCTTTCCGACGTGGGATATTTGCCAGGTGCTCGCCTCTGCGGCCGCAACAGCGAGTGCGATGATGGCAACGGCGGGTGCTGCTGCTGCTGTGGCTGCGGGAGGCCGGAAACCAACGGCGGTAACAACGGCAACGGCAGCGGCGGCGGCGGCGGTGGCGGTGGCGGCGGCAGCAGCTGCGGTAGTCGTCGCGCCGGTCTTTGCTGCAGCTGGCTGTCGTCGTTGCTCCTGGGCTGGGATTGGCTTCCCATCGCCACGTGTGAGTGAAGGACGGCACGAATTGTTGTTGTTGTTGTTGTTGTTGTTGTTGTTGTTGTTGTTGTGGTCTTCACATTCAGAACCGTTCCGATCTCCACTCAGTACTCCTTGTGGTGCCCGCGCTTGTCCATCAGACGCGAGAGAATATTTGAAGAGACACGAAGATGTTTTGCATCGTCCTAACTGTGGGAAACGTAAGGTGTACTTGAGGCGGAGAAGTGCGATCGGTGGTGAACAAATGGGAAAGCAGAGAGCGCGTGGCGGGGTCATTGCTTGTGTGTGGGGGGTATGTTCTGTAGGGTGATGTCGATGCATCGGTTCAGCAGCAGTTGGTAATTACGGACGGATGTCGTCGCGTTTTTTTTTTGTCCACGTTTACCCACACGCCTGAACAGACGGGTGTGCCCAAAAGAGCGAAGGAGTTTTTTTTCCCATGGCTCATCATCGCATCGCACGTCTACCCGCGTCGTTTTCTGCATCGTGCTGGCCTTTCTTTCGTTACGGACGTTCGTTCTCTCTCTCTCTCTCTGGAGCGCCACACGTTGCAGACTGGTCTGAATGCTTTCGTGGCGTTCATGCGCCCGGCCCTGCTCCGCTTACATTTTTTTCTCCCCGGCGGCGCCCAAATCCCTACCCCTCACTCAGCATGTCTCGGCTAAAGAACATGCCTTCTCCAACACGGACCGACAATAACCCCCGTCTGTTTTGCTTGTGTCGTTTGTCTCACTTGGCCCGTCGAAATTTCGGGGTAGCGAGAGCTTTGTGTCACTTGGATGAGGCGGCAAAATAACTAATCTCTCCAAACACCGACCAAGCTTGAAACCTGTCTTCATTGTATACTTGAAGGAATGAAGACAAGCTAAAGCAACTGTGCAATGAATACAACATGGTCAGAGGATATTTATATACGCCCTTCGTATATAACATATAATCCTTTTAGTATATGCTCCGTAAATGTTTTTGGCTCTTGTGTCTCCCTTGGCCCGTCAAAAATTTTTGGGACGGCAGCCGGAGCTCCTGTAGCCGGAGGCGGCGGGCAGACCCTGGGGGGAACCGCCTCCGCAGCAATTCCCCGGCACTCGTCGGGCGGCACCGGTAGAGGCGGCGGCGGCGGCGGCGGGGGGGGGGCAGTTGGTGATATGGCGGTGGCCTTGGGGTCGGGGGATATGGGGGGTGTGGGGGCCACGCGGAGACTGGGGTCTTCTTCCTCGTCATCGTCTGGGCCCGGCGGCGGTAACGGTGGTGGCGGTGAGGACGCTAAGCCTCTTCTGGTGAGTGCGGACCGAGAGAGCGTCGAATGGTGTGAAGAAGAAACCATGATGGGTACACCACCGGCTTGGTGTCCCCACCGGGTGATTTTTTGTCTACTTTATTTTTTGATGCCGGTGTGTGGTATGCTGTGGTGGCGGTGGCGGCGGTGGCGGCGGTGGCGGCGAGGATTCCATGCCTCTTCTGGTGAGTACGGACTGAGAGAGGGTCGAACTGTACGTACGGAAATACGGTGTTATTATTATTATTATTTTTTCTTATGCCCAGGCTCGTTGGGTGGGGTTGCTCTTGGTTTGTGTGACGCGGGTGTGCCTGCGGTGGCGGCGGTGGCGGGGACGCCAATACTCATCTGGTGAGTATGGACCGAGAGAGAGAGAGAGAGAGAGAGAGAGCGTCGAAGGCGGGGTGATGCTTTCTTGTCTTTCCATGCCGAGGCTCGTAGTAGTGGGGTTGTTTTTGGTGTGGCGTGCGGTGGTGCTGATGGCGGCGCCGGCGGCGGGGACACCAAGCCCAGGGAGAAATGGTCGACCGAAAACCTGAATAGTTTGTTGGCGCCTGCCTCCTCATGAAGGGCCTGATTGCGACCTTCCTTGTTTCGAAAGCATTTGAATCAAGCATTCCTCATCCCCAGCCTCCCGCTTGTTTCGGCCCTCAGTCGCACAGCACATCGGCGGAGTTCCGAGAAAAAGAGCGGCGTTTCATCAAAGGCCGTTTCGTGTTGCCCGGTAAGTGGAGGAGGGCTTGGGCTACTAGCATTTGGGCAACAGTTGGAGGAAAATCAGTTTTTGTTTTGTTTTCAGCGTACAGCAGTACCACCGTCCCTGTTTTGACCTTCTCCTCCCAGCTTGTTGGTGTTTGACAACAAGCATGGCCCGGAGACTCTCTCTAGTGGTGTGCCGCGATGTATCTCCTCTTTACATGACGATCCTTGGTATTTTTCAGGGAGCACAGGCGGACAAGCCCACTTTATTTTTGTTCCATGTTCCTGAAAGAAACAACTGACACCGCTGACTTGGAAGGGAGCGACGCACAGCGCACAACAGCTGACACAGCGATGATAACATACAGCGAGCCAACCATTTAACAGAATAAACTACCAACACGCCTACATCGGCAGGGAGCGACGTACAGCGTAGAATAGCTGACGCAATGGCCGGAGTGCTCGCAGCTGGGGAGAGGGCGATGTCCGGAACCGACGCCAGCGCTACGGGCGGCGCAATTGGCCCGAACCGGAACCATTCCGGCGCCGGCGGCGGGGAGGGGTACCGGGAAATTACCGACCGCGGCCCCCCATCTGCAATGTGCGTGATAAAGGGTGCCTGAATCTCCGTAGATCTGAACTCCATTGTTTCGATTGCGAACCTAGGGATCGCTTGTGGTATGTACTTCTAGAGGCGTCTTGGGGATGGGGGCTTGAGAAGGGAGGTTTGGGAGAAGCCCTGAAAGAAGCAGGTGGTACTGCAATACTAGCAGTGATGGCGCAGGAACAAGTGGTCTGTGGTACACTTTTGGCTGAGAAGCAGAATGTCGTCGGGATTTTTTCTGGTAAGATCTCTTCCTCTCGAACACACATTTTGGAGACGATAACCGGTGGGCCAGAAGGAGGGTCCGCCGTATCAAACGACCACATTCTAGCTAGGTCGGTCAATGTGTATCCGTATGCGCAACTTGTCGGAAACACGCAAACTTCAACGATATGACGCCACTTTTGTCGCCCCCCCCCCGCCTCTCATGTCTCTCCGCGCCTATTGAACTCAAACCACCACCATACCGCAGCTGCCATGGAGACGCCTTAGACAGCGATAGCGACAAGACCGCGCATGACGACCAAGGCCAGTTTCGGTTACCCTCGTCGTCGCAGCCTGCCTCCTTTGACGCCGCCGCAAGAGGGCACATGATGCCGGCAGGCGGCGCAATCGGTTCCTCTTCGCATCTTCGAGCTTCTCCCCGACGGGGCACAATAAATGAGGGCTTTCGTGGTGGATCGTCCGCGGTGGCAGGCCTCGGGGGGAGGCGAGCGCCCGGGGGGGAAGCAGAAGAGGAAAGGGAATGTGTCATCTGCATGGAGGAGTTTTCCAAGGTGCATTTTTCTCTTTCTTGTTTTTTTTTTTGCGGACCTGTGATGCTCCACACCGTTGGAGGCATGAGTCGATTTATGATAACTCTTCCGAAAATGAAGACGGTGAAGGTATATCAATAAGGATGGCTTGTATGTAGCGTCACTTTGTTGGCCACCTATGGCAAAGCAGGAAGGAACGATTGGCCATCAGTGATGGGTCCTGTCGGAATCATGCTCCGCCCTCTCTCGAGGACATGTGGTCAATGGTCTGATGGCTAACGCATGCGAACCTGGATTTCCCCCCCCCGCCCCCTTGTCCACTTCCCAGGAGGACCCCGAAATGTTGACGCTTTGCAGCTGCGGCGTGAACAAGACGTTCTTCCACTACTCGTGCCTGCTGCAGTGGCTGTCGAAGCACTCATACTGCCCGGCGTGCAGGTGACGGATGGCCGCAGCTGGACCGCCTTCGCTAGAATTTTGTGGTTATTTGCCTATGAAATAGATTGGGGGGTTTCGTATTCCTCACCTTACCCCCTGACCCCACTCCGTACCCCCTAGTACTAGAACCAAGCTCAATACAGTCGACGGCCCTCAATAGCGAGATTCCCCCTATGCCGGAAACAAAATCGCTTGGCACCAATGCATCCCTCAATAGCGGTACTTGAAATAGATTGGGGGATTCGTATTCCTCACCCTATCCTAAACCTTACCCCGTAGCCCTACTCCGTACCCCCTAGTACTAAAACCAGACTTAATATCCTCACAGCGCTGATCACAGGGATGGCAACCCTGGGGGGGCGTGTTCGTTGCTGCAAACCAGACAGGACACGGGCATTAACTTTTGTTGAGAAGCACGATGACAACTACACCACCAGTCAGCGCTGACTAGTGGTGTAGTGGTCATCGTGCTCCTCAACAGGGTACTGCTGCAGCATACCTCATGAAGGGTTCTGCTGCAGCATACCTATGAAATGGGGAGGGGGGCTCCGTATCTCTATCCCGAAAACCCTACCCTACCCCGTACCCCTTACTAAAACCAAGATTGATATCCTCGCTAAGGCTACTGCTGCTGCTGCATATTCCGCCGATGTATGTATGAACAGCAGTGCGTTTTTTTTTTTGTAGGGACGATCGGGTCCGAATCGGGGGGTTCACGCTGTGGATGTTCATCACAGCGTAATTCACACCACACGGGTCTTGCTCTTGCGTTTATTTTTCAGCCGAAACGCAAATGTTACATGAATGGTACGTTTTTTCTTTTGCTTCGGCCCGTTTTGGTTGTTATATGCCTACGCGTCCGCTGTGGGAGGCAAAGGTTTCGAGCATTGACTTTTTGTCGTGTTCTTCGCCACATGCACGGCGGTGCAATCGTTGTAGCAATTCCTTCGGTTTCACGCTGCTCCCCGTCGTGTTTCATGCGGGCGACACACGGGTGTCTGCGGTTCTGTTTCCGGAAGGATGGTGGCGTCGAGGAACAGAACGTTCCGAAGAGCGGTCCACGAGCCAGCCAAGAGAATGAGCGTCCCTCGTGTATCACACTTGAGCCTCGGAGTGGCTCGTGTACCTTTGTAGATCATTTTCACTGCATGCTTTCCCTCGTAAGCTCAAAGGTCTTCAATAGATACCAGCACTTACGATCCCTTTGCCCTGCACCTCCGCTCTCTCTTTTTTCTCTCAACAGAGGATACCTGTTTTTCGAGGAACGGCGGCGGGGCGGCGGCGACGACGGTTCTCAGGACCGTTCCTCCATCGCCGCAACAACGGGCACCACCACCACCGTTGGCGGCGACAGCGGTAGAACCAGCGGCAGGCTGGAGCCCCCCGCCCCTCCATCCAGCAGCGGGGGCGTGGTTTCTAACGAGGATTACGGGAGAGCGTTCCGACGGGCGCTTCGCGCTGGTCTGGGTGGCGAATCATCGCCATCGACCCCAAGAGGTGCCGGGGGGAACGTTGAGCTACTCTAACGGACCCCACCCTTTCGCCCCCGCTAGAGGGACTTCACGGGGCCCCGGCGGGTGGTTTATTGGGGGGGCCTGGGGCGTTTCCTGGGGACCCGGGGGCGTGGTTTCTGGGGGGGGGGGCTGGGGCGTGGTTTCTGGGGGCCCCGGGGGGTGTTTTTCGGGGCCCCGGGGCGTGATTTCTGGAACCTCGCACGTGGCGGAGGAGGGCTTTGATGATGGAAATGACGGCAGACCATACGTACCCGGGGAGGGTGTGCTGTACGTTGAATGACGGAAGATTCCACACGCCGCCTGGACATACTTGCAGAGATTACGCCGCGACGAAGAGCACGCCACGGTAGTCGAACAATGCGTTATCGGTAAGCTCCGGACGAGAAGGGTTCGTTCCGACCATTTCCAGCACCGCCACTGCTGTCTGCTTTGTGCTGCCTGCGGAGCGGCGGCATCAGCAGAGGTGTGAAAATGGGGGCAGGGTCCGTGATGTCTCACGCAACCCGCGGCAGAAGTACTGTATTGCTTGGCCGAGGTTGGGGCCGGTTTGGAGCCTTGCTTCCTTCGACCTCAGCGGGGCTCAGTGGTTTGTGGGCGGTGGCTGGGGGGGAGGGGTACGGGCATCACCAGTGGGAGTACCCCAAGACCCAACCGCCCCCGTCGAATCCCTGGCATGGTCACTCTGGATTTGTCTGTCACATACAGTCGTCCTTTCCCCGTTCGTTTCCTGTCGTGCTTCTGACTGTGTTGAAAAAGGGTGTGTATGCCGCACGTTCTTTCGAAGGTATTATCTCTTTTTTTTTCCCTCTCCCGCTCAGCGCTCGTGTACAAAAGTCGCTGTTTTTCTTAGGTTTCGGAAAACTGTCGTTTGCCTTTTTCTTTTTTCTTGCGTTTTGGTTTGTTTCCTTTTGACGTAAGCATGAAGTTTTGTTGGTAAGGACAGAACAGGGCGGCGGCGGCGGCGGCGTGGTGCTGTTTGTTTCTGTGCTCGTTCTCTATATGGTATTTTTGGTGTAGAGTAGGTAGGTAAAGAGAGACCGCCTGGCCACCGGCTTGCGAGTGAATCTGAACGCCAACCGGCCAGATTTGGATAATGGAATTTTCTTGCGACGGGGAAAGTAACGCCTCCTCCTCCTGCTCGTCAACTCTGCACGGCTTGGGGAGGGCGGGATGTACATACTTGCTCCACAGCGATTGTGGTGCTGGAGTTTTTCGAGGTGGGGCCGGAGGCGACCTTGGAGCAGAGCGACAATAATGCTAGATTGAGAGGGGCTTTATAGGCCAAGTGCCGCGAGGGATACGGGGCAGTAATAAGGGATCCGTTAGAGTCTGACAAGCTTGCGTGTTCATGGGTGCTTTTCGCCTGCTTGCCTTTCGTTAGACTGCCTGTTTCTCGAGTCAATGAGCACAGCCCTTGGGTATGTGCCGTACTAGTCGCTGTAGTTGTGTCTGTAGAATTTTTGCTTATTATTTTCAAAAGCCATTTGTCGTGCGCATTCATTCCCTCTCGCTGATGCGCTATTGTGAAGTACTCGTCCACAGGGCGTAAGTCCACCATTGACGAGCCGGACCCATGTGTCCGAGTGACGGACTTACGGGGCCGTCAGTATGTCGTCGCCACGTGCTCCTTTCCTCAGAGGGAGGAGCGTCTTGGGTGGTTAGTCCGCGTCCTGTAGTTTTGGCGGGCAAGCGTAATGGGAGGAGGTTAGTAATCGTATCAGTTTTATTGACGAGGCTGCGCGTGTATTTTCTTTCTCCGTGAAAGATACAAGCACGTGTCATCCTGTGGCGGTGGGGTTGCTTTTCCATGTCCAGATTGCGAAAAGTGATGATGCACGGAGTTTGTTGCTCTTCCTTGCGTTGTTCAGTGGACAAACACACGTCAAAACACGGTCAAGTCAAGGCTCAATTTCTTTCGCAACGTTACTTCTCCCTGTCGAACAAAGTAAGGCAAGATATGTAGGATCCACCGCTGAAGCTGTTTGTGTGTGTACAGTTTCGCTCCAAATTCGAGCCCTTGTTTCTTGACGGAATATTTCATATTTGCGGTGGTGCCGAACTGCTGCTTTTCTTTTGTGCTTCCTCCCTGGCGCAGTTTGTGATGACACCCGACCCCGTGACCGCGCACCGTTCGTTGCGTACCACGTTTTTCTCTTTAGACGAGTGAGAGAGGGTGTGTTTGTGCATGAGCTTTGTGCAGATGCTTTGGCTGCCATTCATCATTGGAGGCTTTTTATTTTTCTGACGAAACAATGAAGATCGATCCGATTCGACACACTTCGTACGGATTCTAGTATGTATATGATGATCACGGACGACATTTGATCATTTCATCTCCATGGTTCACGGCGTTGTTTTGCTGCCACCCTCTCCCTTCCAACAAGACGCTGCGTAGTACAAGTACTCACATATATATTTGTTCGGTCGTTCGGGACAAAGTATGTATGAATGTAATCTATGCAGAAGTAATTATCTTCTTCCAAGCAGGGTGACCAATCGACCCAATCCAACAAAGACGCAGCATGTATTTTCATTTCTTCAACAACTAACACGACAGACAGGCAGCCTGAATGAAGCACATAGTGTCTGTCTTCCATCGTCTATCATTCCTGGAGATCTCCAGGGCTGCCGAGCCATGACCGTCGTGTGTATTACACGAGGCTGCAAACATGTGCAAGTGTGTGTCGGCAAATAAATCAGCACCACCAGCACCCCACCAGAAAATTAATAGTGAATGAATGTATCTGCTGCGGAATGTCATGAATGAATGGATGGCAAAGGATGTTCTTCTGATCTCGACCGATCGGATGATGATGTATGGTTTATGCAAACAAGAAATCTATCTATTTTCTTCTGAAGTGTAGGCAAACTTTTTGGCAAAGGGAGAGGGGGGCATGCCGGTGTCATCTTTCCGGGTTTGCGTAAACTCACAGCCAGCCGCAGCAGTTTGAGAGAGAAAAAGTTCCCGCAGTTTTCTGACTGGCCAATTGTTTCGGTCGGAAGTTTCCTTCGAAAGAAAAACTCATGGTCGACGGGTGACGATACTCACGGTCATGGGGCCGCCTTTCGGCGAAATTCAGAATCTGGATTTTTCCCGTGAGTGACAAATTGAGTTGGTTGATGGTTGACGGCAGCTTCCTCAATGAGTCACTCGCGGGAACCGCCGACCTCACATTCTTGTGCCTTGGAGGAACGCATTTAATTTATTCATCATGGCGCACCGATCCGAGCTTGTCTGGTGGTGGTCGACCGTGCATTCCTACCCCTCTTATGGTGATATTTATGTTGCACTCACACGACACGACAGATCGATGTCACCAGCACCACCACTCCGTGTTGATGCTCGAGTAAATTTAAAGCCAAGGGAGAAAAAAAGATGTGTTGTAACTCGTCAACAAGGAGATGGCACGGTCGTCTTCGACTGCTACTGTGCCACCACAACCCTCCATCACCACCAGCAGCCATGGATGGTGCTACGTGGAGCAGACCAAGCTTTGCCCGTACATACCATGAGTGATAAAAACCCGCGCGCAGCTCATCACTGGAGGCGTTTCAAGAGGGTTCACCCGAACCAAAGGCGGAACCCTTTTTTGGAACCTGCTCTCTGTCGCTATTAATTCATATCGGCTCCCTCATCACTCGAAGGGAGAGTTGCCAAATCAAGCTATCACACCACTTGGGTGGGTTGAAGATCTCAAAATGATATCTTCCTCGCGTCTTATCTCGGGTTTCGTAGTATGGAGGCTGGTAGACAGCCAAACGGGGAGCTTTCTCTCTATTTCAAGACACCTTTTTCGGGCACACGCTTCTCCCCATTTTTTTAGGGAGCGATGTATATTCTGTGCATCCCCCCGTCCAGAGTCCAGAAGGCAGGCCGCACGGAACCCCCGTGCTTGGAGTACCTTGGAGACTCGGCTCACACAATTCATTCCAGACGCCTCGCTGTGGCAGAGTTGACGATCATCCAAGGCCGTGATGCTTCCTATAGTCACCAGCAGCAGATCCCGAAGGTTTGTGCACAGAGAGAAGGAGCACTATTCACGTACGTACCTCTACTACGTCCCCGATTTGCTGCCTCCCGAGGTTTCTGTGGATGACCAGCACGAATACAACAACAAGAGCTCTCATTCCGTTGCTATACTTAGCCTCAAGCAGCAGCGGCGGCCTGTTCTCTCCATTACACAGATGTTCAAGCCATACATAATCACACAACTCTTCCCCTGTGGCTGGTCGAATTCACTCTTTCACAGCAACATGGTTGAAACAGGGTGTTCGGATGTCACACAAAGAGAAAATGACAATGTAGTCTGCACAGACTTGTGCAGATAATAGCTGTCGCGCACGTGTGGCGTCGTCGTGGTACTTGACACGTGAACTACATTCATTTACACTGGTTCGACCCGTTCTGTCCGTAGCGATCAGGCGCGTTTCGACACAATATAACACACCCACACAAGAAACCACCCCCCCACAGAATACGACACCCCGATGATAATTTTTTGGCGTTCTGACAAACCATCGATTAATCACCGGGGCTACACTAGATAACACACCCTTTGAGGTGTTCGGACGTGCAATCACACCCCCTGGTTTATCACACCCCCTTAGGGGCCTGTGTGAGCTGCCCTTTATCACCCGGGCTACACAAGATTAACGATACAGCCGTGATAGTATCGGCAAACAACCTGTCGGGGATATATACGTGTCCGTGTTCTATGTGTTCGGGTTGGCAACATAGACAACAGACGGCAGGATGGCCTGAGCACGGTAGGTCTGCATTGCCGTAGAATGGTCTACAGTATATAGCGTACAAGGGGGGATGACGCCC